CTTCCTTCCGCTTCCCCCGTCACTCCCACAAACCCTCCACAACCACGTCAACTCTACGCACCAAATCTTGCACTCTTTCGCCTCGCCTACGTCTTAGGCGACATCATGGACACTGCCGTCTCGCTTCGCTCCGTGTCATACGACACGATCATGGCACACGATAAGGCACTCGCCAACTGGATGGACAACTTACCCCAGGAGCTCGATCTGGATGAGTTCAGAATCGCGCGCGCCCTCGCAAGCCCAGACATCGTCACGAGAAGACTAGGCGTACAAAGCGTCATCATCCGAACAAGCTACTACCACATCCGCTTCACACTCCACAGACCATACGCTTCCGCATCACCCTTCCTTTCCTCCAACGACAAAGACAAGCACGAAAAATCCGATAAAGACCCAAAAGATGCCGCCAAATCCGAACGCCAAGCAAACAGCCTCGACATAGCAGTAGGCAGTGCCGACAAACTCATCACCCTCGTCGATCACGCCCGTCCAGACTTTCTCGCAAATGCCAGCCTAGCAGTACCAGGCCACATGTCCTGGGGACCCTTCCACGTATTCAGCGCCGCCATGTTCTTCTCCTTCCAACTCATCTCAAATCCCAACCAACCAGGCGCAGGTCTCTTCCGTGCAAACATCAAGAAAGCACTCGGCACTCTCGAACTAAGCCGCGGACAAGCAGTCGCAGACCGCGCACTCGATATCCTGGGCGCCCTCCAACCCCTCTACGAAGTCGGATTCGCAGACATGGAAGTAAGCGAACGCGAAACCGTCAAAGGACGTGTTCTCGGGCTCGTCAAAACTCTCGCATTCCCCTATCACGACCAATCCCGTTCATTACGGAGCGGGGCAGCCGATAGCCCCCCCAACTACTCAGGTGGCAGTCCAAGCGGCTACTTAGGCAGTCCAGCGGGTGGGTACGCAGCTGGGAGTCCTAATAATGGCGCAGCGGTTTTTGGCGGAAGCCCGAACGCAAGCGCGAGGAGGAATAGCGTGGATTACCCGCCTCACACTCATACAGCTCAACCGCGATACGTGCCGCCTAATACGTCTCCGCCTTATCCGTACCCTGAGAACAGGGGGTACAGTGATGTGAGGGGGTCATATGAGGGTGCGAGGTATGTGGATGGGGCTTCGAGGACGGTGCCTACTTCTGGTGCTACACCTTCGACAAGTACGTATCCGGATCCGCCGGCTCCTGCACCCGCACGGAATCCATATCCACCATCTGCGTCAGGGTCAGGGTCAGGGTCGGCGTCAGGGTCAGGGAATCCGTACCCTGCACCACCGCCACCTGCGCCATCGCAGACACTGCCATATTCTGACTCTGTACGATCGTATCCGCCTCCATCTGATGGGAAACATGTTCAAGCATCTTACCCCGACACACGGCCCTATCCCGTGCAAGGCAGCATAGGGGGGAGCAGTTCGTCATACCCCTATACATACCCGACGCCAGTGGAGGAAGATTCGATGTGGGGAGCGTCGTTAAGTCAGGCAGAGTGGGCGCGGTTTCTAGATGTGATGCAGCGGCCTACAGGGGAGAGGGGATGAGACTTTAACATGGGCATTGGCAGCGAGACGTGCCACATGTAATCAACCCGCCCGCTGCCCGCTGCATACAGTCACAACACTAGACACGACCACTACGCCGCAACCCACTGCGACGACATGTACGTTTTCATTTTCATTTTGGATCTAGATACCTATACCAAACGTCTACCTATCTGGCATTTTTGCATCGCACTTTCTAGCTACCCGACGCTGCATTCTTAATTATCTCCCATGCTCCATATACGTTTCTCTCGTGCACTATCCCGTGCCATGTTCATATCCATCGCATACGCGTAGTTTCCTTTCTTTTTTTGTTTGGTTGTTGTGTCATCGAATGGCGAATGCATGATTGAAATTTCACCCTGTACTTTTTATATTCTAGCGATATTGCATTGCATTCCCCACACACACGATTATGTACACCGACACCAAGCGACAATTCCCATTCCCCACACCAAGCCACTATTCCCCACCCACCACACCACCCACCCTCCAGTTCAGTCCTGCGGGGCTTGAAGCTTAGCTTGACCCCCAGCTAACTCCATCGAACGATGACCCCCCCATCCCGTCCCAACGCACCCCCTCCCGACGCAAACCCATTACCCACCTCTTTACCCACAGTACGACGACCCTTGTACACGTGTCCGATCCTTTCGCTAGATGCACGTACGACATACTTACCTAGTTACCTAGTCTTTTTTGGTTCTTCCTACTTATATACTTATTGCGTTTTTTTCTGTGTATTGCGTTTTTGTGTATTATATGCGCGCATCCGCTGTATCCATGAATTGAAAGTCTCCGAGAGGACGGTTGGATTTCTTACATATGTTCTACAGCTCCAGCATGAATTTGAGAGAAAACGGACTTTTGACGAGGGCTCAGCCTACTCGATTAACTGCGCACTGCGGCCTTCCAACTGGTTACTGCAGGGGAAATACATTATACATACGGATGCTCAATTTCAACGGCACCAAATTTCTGGCCATCATGAACGGAAATTCGTAATTCGAGATCTCGTCACAACGCATATGTGCAGCCTCGTACGTTACTTTCTTCAGATCTGACCGGTCGACCCATCACGTTCTGTTCTTTTCAAGAAGGTGCAAGTCTAAAGGTATCCGAGATGAGGATAGTCGGACTCGGATATGTAGTAATTGTCTTATCGTGCCGGAGGACACACGGGTTTCGAGAAGACTTCATTTTATTTGAGTTCCGAAATTCGAAGGGGAGGGCTAAAGGCATCTGAATCTTGGAGCTGTGCGACCAAAATGGTACGTAGTACTAACTTGTGTATACTAGCAAGAGAAAATCGCGGGTCCTACGCTAACGCGACGAGGAAGGTATTAGATGGCAGTACTATCGGAACCTAATGTCCAGGCCTATCTTCAATTTCTTTTTCTGTTCCTCGTTTATTGTCCGTTGCCCTCCTTATCTTCCTCAGATTCTAGCCTTTGTACTAAATCCTTTCTTAGATTTTAGATTTGTTCACAAACATCTCTTTGGACGGCGTGCAGCTGGCCGTATGCACCCTTGATGCATAGCCAGCCTTACCCATGCTAGTCCCGAAGACGCCACAGAGCGGCTAAGGAAGTCTTGTTGTGAATTCGAAAAGGAGAGTTCAGACCATTCTATGTGTTCTTTTTTTGACAAGCGATGTGTATTATTAGCAGACCCCTGCATTGCAGACCTGAGACGGCTCAACATGCACAGGCTCTGCTACGGACGTCGCCGTACGGTACCGTACTAGACATCACGAAGCCCTTCATAAAACGCACATCGCGAGACATTTCGATATCAGTAATCAAAGGCAGCAGAGGCGACCGTCAGTGCCTGTCACATCGCGCTCAACAAACACCTACATCGCATACCAGACCCATTGATCAGCCAAATGCGAGAATGTAACGCACACGAGGAGACCGTCCTCCTTTATGTTAGTCTGCCCTGCCTTCGCACAACGTAATGCGCTGCTTTGACGTTCCCGTTTACGCCGGATCCATTGTTCGAAACTGACACATACATTTACAGACGATATACGATACAAGTGCATACAAGTAGGTAATGTCCATCGTGGGGCTCGACCCCAACGGACATTAACCAAGGATCCAAAAAAATCCACACCTGCCGTCAAAGATGAGCTCAGTTCCGCCTGATAGTCCCCCCATCACTCAAAGTCCGAGTCGAAATAACTATCGGGCAGGGCACGTTTTTAACCGCTTGAACCTTGGTCAAGTTCCTCGCGACGCTTCTTGACAGTTTGCCTCTCGTCGTACCATGCTCCGCGTCCTTCCCCATTACCATGATAAGAATCCGGCCCAATTGTAGTAGATCTTGACAAAGGAATGTTCGTAAGCACCTGATCGGTCCAAATACAATAACGTGTTTGCAAAGGTGTTATCATCAAGCTTCTGTAGGAGATCAATGTCGGTTTTTCTGATTGATCAGGGAGAAGGAACAGGTTGGACCTAGATAGACCAAACTGGCTTTTCTGATTTAAGTACGAGAAGGAATATGAAGTTCTTTACCCGGATAGCACGCAAATTGCATCAGCCGAAATAACCTGTAGCAGTAAGAGTCAAGAGTGGTCAAGCGGGACTCGGTGTCAAACTGCCCTCAGTAAGCGATGAGGAGACGAGAACAACATTTGTGTCAGTGACTCCCTGTCCGATACAGATGACTAAAATACTCTGGAGCTCGCTTTGGCTGCTGTCTATTCCAAGCCAGAGAACAGCCGCTGTATTCCATTTTTCATGGAAGAGACCGAGATCCCGCCAGAACAATGGATGACCCACTCGAGCACTGTGGCCCTCAAACGTTGTGCAAATATTAATTTGGCAGCACACGATCTGTCCATGGCAGAAGAGAATGGTATCTGCGCATATAAGAGGACGCGACGGAGTCTATAGAGGGGCGCTCAGTCGAAAAAAAATATATCCCATGAAAACCAGGAGACCTGAAAAGCCTCAGCTGGAATATTTCACTCGATCGTGGCAGGGTCCAGTAAGCCAGCTGGTGCACGAGTTTTTTGTGTTTGCAAATGCAGCAGCTGATAAGTCTGGCAGTTGATCAAACTTCAAGCTGCGTGCATAGTCAATCAATTGACTAGAGCAAGGTAGTCTATTGGGGGCCACGTCAGTGCCGCTATATTGCTGCTTTTTGACCCAAACCTGAACTTCGTGATTCTTACTTGTTCCATGTCGAGTGTTGTATGCCCATGGAATGTCTCCCACAGCAAGATTGAGGAGCGTATAGCCAAGAGATTATATATCATCACGCGGAGCTAATCCTACAATCCTGTCAGGTAAGAGGGAAGCTATAATACTGGATCAACTTACGGATACCATGGTGCATATTCAGGCTGACGTGCCCCAGTGCACCGATGCCATGCGATATCAGGGGTACAAGAGGCTGAGTTAGGCCTCATGTGCAATATCCCAAGCGAGCCCATACTAGTCGACCAGGTACAAATGCCTGGAATCGGTAGGGTGGATGAAGATGTTCCCAGTTTTTAGGTCGCAGTGGACAAGTTTGTTCTTTTGTATGTGTTCGGGAGCTGAGATCTAGCGCAGGTCACCACGAGTCTGCTAATGGACCAGATATTGCTATGTTACATACCATCTGATCAGCGACCACTAAGGTGCTTACTACTGCCGATAGAGGACAGGATGCCCGCACTTCATCAACGTTCATCCCGAGAAGCTGCACAGCAAGATATTCGAAATACTTCAATCGTCCATAGGCAAAACTTTTGGGATGGAAGGATGTCCCTGCAGGGCCCGTCACTCATGATTCAAGAGGGTAGATTCGAGTACAAGAGATGCCCGAGACCTCTTGACGGCCATGATCTGACCTGTAGCAATGAGAAAATGTCAGGCATAGAATAGCAGAGGACAGCATGGGTGTACAAAGCTTCCATCACTCAGCAGATGATCAGCTCGGAGACACCAAGATTCCACGGTGGTCTCAGTATTTTCCTCGAAACAAGACAGGGGGAGTGCAATTATCTTGCAGAGCATGAGCCGCGTATGGGTGAGAATGGCCTCGGTTGATGGGAGAGGGCTAGTCTGGACACTCGTTATGGGAAAAGAAGGGCAGTGACTGTCGAACAAGGCGAGAGTACTCGTTCAAAACTCCGCTTGCGACGAGGAAAACTGTACATGTGTGGCAGGTCCCAATTGTCTAGCTGGCCGTGTTTTGATTAATGACGTGTAGACTGTACAATGTGTGCTATAAAAATATCCAAGGCTAAAAATATGTGTTTTGATTACTAATTTATCTGGGATTTCCTGGCCTTGACAATTTTTAGCGGGTGCAGATGTTTGTGCAGGGACCACGCCTCGTTCTTAGGGTTCGAGGAACTCATGGTGGACTCCGACGCAGAAGCTAGCATGAATTCGATTAAACGGTCTCACTATACCAACACAGCGTATATGTCGTTCAACGGCATGGCTGGTTGTGAATGCATCGGACTGACGTATCTCTCCGTTCAAACATCGAAAACAAGAAATGTTGAAAACCGAGTCGTCTGAAGATCGAGAGGAGTAGCTATGGGTGTCTATTTATATAGGCGAGCGCAACCCGCGACGAGTTGACGTCAGCCGATAGTGTGATATTGCGCCTGTCACATACATATAAAACCGAAATCGCCTGTTTCCACATTCCAAGTCTGTTCCGGTCAAAACATCCCTCTTGCTCCTATCAATCACTGCAAGAAATTACTTTTGAAAGCAAAGAAAGTACCTCTCACGAGAGGGGTACCAATGATCCAACACCAGAACCAGCATAAACGCAGAACATCTTCACATCTGGCAGTGGGTGATCGCTTGTCCCTTTTCAAAAGTGTCAATGCATCATCATCATGAGTATGCAAGTACCTACCAGCATGACAGTACGGAATTCCATCCGCCTTGTGTCCCCACCACATGACAGGCGACCACTCGTCCACAAGGTCGGCGAGCGTCTGGAGGTGGCCGTATGCAGCTGGCTGGGGACCGGACGGTCGGCGTAGTGCGACGAAAGTGAAGACACAGGCAACTATAAAGAGCGCGATGCATAAGTTCCAGATCTGAAAGAATGTGTGAGCATGCTGTAGCAATTTTGCATACAGTAAGTACAAACCTGGGCAGTGTACATAAATATCAAAAAACCGCTTAGGGTGTTGTTAATGGCGTATTTACCTATGTCGAATGAAAGCCCAAACATCCAGTCTGTGATCGTCAAGGATAGTGTTCAATAAAACTGACAAAAAATACTAGGCGTGAATGACTCACGCAGAACAGGCTTCGCGATGAAAAGTATGAGACAGTTCGGTTGATTAAGGATCGACACCAGCGGGTTCGTCGCCATTCTAAGTCCTTGCCTTCTGGTAGCCCATCTCCACTGTCTTTCGTCTCGAATGACATTCACGATGAGCTCCGAGCAATGCAGCCCAAGCGTCAACAGTCCCTGGACAACCGCAATGTTGACAAAGAGCAGAATCCACCCCTCAGGACTGCCCTTCAGTAGATCATACATGATGTCATTTCCCTCAGAATTTCGGAAGAACGACCACGTTTGTAGGGTCAGAGCATTGCCGTTGGAAAAAAAGCGGTCCGAGATATACATGACGATTGCGGCCCATACAATGCATGCTGTAACGATAGCCCAAAGAAAAATGATAACTTTTTGGATGCTAGGGTGAGCATGCCAAGCAGAGGGCTGTGTCTCTGGTGGCTTCGCTGGTCCTCCATACGTGTCTAGGTCAGACACACGACGCATGCACCGGAAAGTAGCAGGGGTCAATTGTGTGTGGTGGACGAGTGCGGCGGCCAAGTCGAAAGGTGAGGAGCTCCATGTCAAAATCTTGACCGCCCGCATCGCTGATAATGCGATCATCACCTGGAGGAGGAGTACGACGCCTAAAATGAGAAGAGGTAACCCGGCGATGGCGACGCTCCCGCTCTCTTGTATGATGGATCCATCCACGCTGTGTAGGACTCGCTGGTCCACACATATGATGAGTGAGGGCAAGCTGTAGGATATAGTGAGGAGGACAATCGAGATACCGTTAAGCAGGGCGCCATTAGGTTACGCCATCCACGAGCTGCGGTCAGAAGGCGCAAATTGGTGTTGAAATGAAGCCGAGACTCTGAGGCTAGCGCAGAGCGCAATGAGATGCCGTGTACGAAGCCTATAGACTCGGCACATAACGTGACGATTGAGACAAGCATCAGGGTCGATATTTCCAACTGCAACGACAATTGAAGAGGGTAATTAAGATTGACTATGCTGAGCCCGAGTGGGGTTACTCCCACAATTCCGTGATTGGCTACAGTGACAATACCTGTAATGATGCATAAGCAGCTGAAGATACCTGAACATGCTATTCCGATAAGGGCATATCTACGACTCGTCAGATTGCGGTCGTAGAAACCGGTTCCAGTAACAGCAGTGGGCTTCTCATCAGATATTGTCGAGTCAAAGTCCTGGTGACCCGGGAGTGCGTTATATGCAAGAAGGCTGGAAGGATGCGAATTTTCTTCTATCGGTTCGGAGGAAGCTGCCATCATGATAAGAGGCAGAGACAGGAAGGTCAGCGTATTATAGACAAGCAGATTAAATATGTTTTGCTTACGACATTTTAGCCTCTGGTGCAGTGACTCCGAGCAGTTGTTGCAACATTAATTTACATCACATTGCAATTAGTGTTCAGCATCATGGTCGGGCCTGGCTTGGCCTGAAAGCCCTTCCCTGGACCTAGCTTTAAAGGAGCTTAGGCTTACCAGATTCCAAGTATAGTCCGTGAGCCCAAAGCGGCTGGCTTGAGCAAAACCAGCTATATTAGAGACATCAAAAGTTGTAGTATACGGTTTTTTATCGCACTACAGTGCAACAATACTGGAAGTGCACATGTCAGGACGGTGATCACTGAGAGCCAGTCAAGCCTACCGTCCCTTACAATGTACTGCACACATGTCCTTAACTCGCCCAACTCAGCAACGATTTATTTCGCCAGTCTTTTTTTCAGCGCGCAGGACGATACCTGTCAAGATGGATAGCAGGATAGCAGCTGGGACAGATCTTTGACATGAGTGTTGAAATTGTGAGACCTGGCGGAGTCGGAAACTGCCAGCGTCCGCGTCCGCGCTCAGCGGTGTCTGTCAGTCCAGACTCTGGAACTCTGGGGGCGTGCACTGTTAGCCGGCTCAATTCGGTCGGTGTACATGATCATGTCGTTCTCAATCCCTTGGTAAGTATGTAGACGGATCCAAAAGTCGTGATAATTAGTGCCTGGCTGTCACCGTTCTCGCATTGGCGCTGTGCTGATTGTGCTAGTATGTAAATCCAGTGACATGCTCATTGCTCACGAAGTCATGGTCAATCTGGTCTCTGGTCACCCACAAGCAGTGACTGCGCCAGTACCTGTTTTTACCCTAGCACCAGGTGCCATGAATCCACATCATGATACCGAAAGCGGATACGCAACCTCAAGCGCTGAGACACCTACCATGCCTGTCAACATACAAAAAAATTCATCCTCATGATTTTCAGCGACATCGCTACCTGTCCTGACCCAATGGCCCACATCTTTTTGCAGTCGCAAACAAAGATGTAGAATACCCTCACCATACGGCAGAATGGACCTGAAAGGAACCGAGCAGAGCAGACGTACTAGGTTCACTTGATGATGCGTCCCTTGTTATGAAAATGCTTCTCATCTTCGCGATTGCTCGTATCTGACGTCTATTGCCTACTCTTCCCATCCGACTTCAACATATTCAGGTGCTGCCTTGTCATGTCCACAGCATACATACGCTCCACGTTGGTATCAATTACTTGATACATTCGCATCATTTCCTGTCATCTTGGTTGTCTGTCAGATATCTTCCCCTTCGTCAAGACAATGATACGATGCTGTGATTGCCTCCTACATGGTTTGTCTGTTATAAATCTACCACGGTCTCCCAGACTTTCATATACATGACTTACTCCCCCAGGCTGCATGCTGTCTCGACAATCATCGCCAATGTTGTCATGCCTATCCGCTTCAGCATTCCGAGCCGGTCCTCAAATTCTCATGATAAGAAACAAGAATGAACATCAATCATTTGACGAGTGCAAGCCTAAATCTACACAGCACACAACAGAGCACGATATGATGAGGTCCAAAAAATGGGTGTTGAAACCCAATACAGTCCGCAGGTGGGCGCCGCGCTCAGCAATTGAAGCTGGGGTGCCACGTATAGTGCATAGCACGGGAGGAGGTCAAGGATATGTTGTGGTATTTTTGTCGGCAGGTTTCAAACCTCCACCTAGCTTGAACACCTATGAAATATTTCATCTCAGCTTATCATGCCGGAACAGTCTCACTATTCATAACCCAACACATCGTATGTCTCGTTCAACGGCATGATGGCTGGTTGTGTGAATGCATCGGATGACGTATCTCCGTTTAAACATCGAAAATGAAAACCAAGTCATCTAAAGATCTAGAGGAGTAACTATGGGTATCTATTTAGGCGAGCGCAACCCACGAGGAGTCGACATCGGTCGACAGTGTAATATTGCACCTCTCACACACATATGGTACTGAAATTGTCCGTTTCCACATTCCAAGTCCGTTCCGGTCAAAACGTCCCTCCCGCCCCTATCAATCACTGCAAGAAATTACTTTTGAAAGCAAAGAAAGTACCTCTCACGAGAGGGGTACCAGTGACCCAACGCCAGAACCAGCATAAACGCAGTGCATCTTCACATCCGGCAGTGGGTGATCGCTTGTCCCTTTTCAAAAGTGTCAATGCAGCATCACCATGAGTATGCAAGTACCTACCAGCATGACAGTACGGAATTCCATCCTCCTTGTGTCCCCACCACATGACAGGCGACCACTCGTCCACAAGGTCTGCGAGCGTCTGGAGGTGGCCATATGCAGCTGGCTGGGGACCGGACGGTCGGCGTAGTGCGACGAAAGTGAAGAAACAGGAAAATATAAAGAGCGCAATGCATAAGTTCCAGATCTGCAAATACGTGTGAGAATGTTGTAACAATTTTACATGGGCAGGAAGTGCGTACTTGGGCAGTGTGCATGACTGTCGAAATGAAGTCTATGGTCTCGTTATCGGCGAAGATATGCGAGCCGAATGAAAGCCCAAACATCCAGTCTGTGATTGTCGAGGATAGTGTTCAATGACATTAACAAAAAAATACTAGGGGTGAATGACTCACGCAGGAAGGGCTTCGCGATGAAAAGTATGAGACCGATCGGATGATTAAAAATCGACTCCAGTGGGTTCATCGCCACTCTGAGTCCTTTGCTTCTGGTAGCGCATCTCCACTGTCTTTCATCTCGGATGACATTCGCGATGAGCTCCGAGCAATGTAGCCCCAGCGTCAACGGTCCCTGGAGAAATATAATGTTGAGATAGAGCAGAATCCCAATCTCAAGATTGGAACCTGGCATCCAATACATGATGAAATTGGACGACGCGCTCCGGAAGAACGACCACGTTTGTAGGGTAAGAGGATTGTCGCTGGCGAAATATATCTTGTCAACAACGTGGTCCCAGATATACATGACGAGTGCGGCCCATCCAGCGCATGCTGCAACGATGACCCAAAGAAAAATGACAACTTTCCGGACGCTAGGGTAAGCATGCCACGCAGAGGGCTATGTCTCTTGTGGCTTCGCTGGTCCTCCATACGTGTCTATGTCAGACACACGACGCATGCACCGGGAAGTAGTAAGGGTCAATTGTGCGTGGTGGACTAGTGCGGCGGTCAAGTCGAAAGGTGACGAGCTCCACGTCAAGATGTTGACAGCCCACATCCCTGACAATGCGATAATCGCCTGGAGAAGGAGTGCGACGCCCAAAATGAAAATAGGTATCCCTGCGATGGCAATAACATCATCGACTGTTTGGGATGCCTTCCAGTCATTTTGGTCCAGACATATGATGACTGAGGCCGAGCTGTAGGATATAATGAGGAGGACAGCCGAGATGCAGTTAAGCAGCGCGCCATTGGGGTTATACCATCCACGAGCTGCAGTGAGAAGGCGTAAATTGGTATTGAAACGAAGCCGAGACTCCGAGGCTAGCGCAGAGCGCAATGAGACGCCGTGTACGAAGCCTATAGACTCGGTACATAATGTGACGATTAGCATCAATATCCCCTGTACTAAGTGAGGAACATTTCCAACACGGTCCAGCCTGGTTACTCCTAGGATGCCATTGGTGCAAGTGATAACACCTGCAATGATGAATAAGCAGCTAAAGATAATTGAACATGCCACTCCGACAAGGGCATATCTGCGACTCGTCAGACCGTGGTAGTAGAAATCGGCTGTAGTATCAGCAGTGGACTTTGCATCAGATATTATCGAGTCAAAGCCCTGGTGACCTGAAAGTGCGTTAGATGCAAGAAGGCTGGATGGACGCCAATCTTCTTCTGTGGGTTTGGAAGAAGCTGTCATCATTATGGGAGGCAGAGATAGGAAGTCCAGCGTATTATAGACAAGCAGATTAAATCTATTTCACTTACGACCATAGCCTCTGGTGCAGTGTGACTCCGAGCAGTTGTTGCAACATTGATTTACATCGTATTGCAATTAGTGATCAGCATCATGGTCAGGCCCGGCTTGGCCTGAGAGCCCTGGCTTGGACCTAGCTTTAAAGGAGTTTGAGCAAATTCCAAGCATACGCCGTGAGCCCAAGACAGCCCAAAGCGGTGGCTTGAGCAAAACAAAGACATCCAAAGTCGTAGTATAATGTTTTTTACCGCACTGCAGTGCAGCAATACTGAAAGTGCACATGTCAGGATGGTGATCATTGAGAGCCAGTCAAGCCTACCGTCCCTTGCAATGTACCGCACACACATCCTTAACTCTCACCCAACTCAATGACAGTCAATTTTTTTTCAGCGCGCAGGACAAAACCCGCGATAAACTTAAACTGTCAAGATGGATACCAGGATAGCAGCTGGGACAGGTCTTGACATAAGTGTTGAAATTAAGGATGATAGACCTGGCGGAGTCGGAAACTGGGGCGTCAGCGGCTATCGCAAGTCTGTCACAGACTCCGGGGTACAGTACTACTTACATAATATTGTCTGGGTTCGAGCCTTTTGTTCGATCGGTGTACATGATCATATCGTTCTCAATCCCTTGGTAAGTATGTAGACATGCTTTAGCGGATCCAGCAAGTCCACTAGTGGCTGGCTGTCACCGTTCTCGCATATTGGCGCCGTGCTGATTGGGCTATGTAAATCCAGTGACATGCTCATTGTTCACGAAGTCATGGTCATCTGGTCTTTGGTCAACTACAAACAGTGACTGCACCAGTACCTGTTTTTACCCTACTGGGTGTTGCTATGAATCCACATACGACCAGTGACCACACAGCCGCAAGCGCTGAGACACCTACCATGCCTGTCAACATACAGAAAAATCATCCGTATGATTTTCAGCGACATCGCTATCTGTCCTGACCCAATGGCCCACACCTAGTAAAAACACGTCTTTTTGCGGTCGCAAACAAAGATGTGGAACAACTCACTCAAGACACCTGTGTTCGTGAATAGTTCTTCGAAGCGCTGGACAATCCTCTTCGAGCGTTCTTCTCCCGATACCCTTTCAGTTGCTTCTTGATTTCTCCACACGCAGCTGGACGCCAAGCTTCGAAGTTGGTGAACACCACAACAACGGGAACTCAAGATTGTTCATTTAGTCCAGCACGGCAAGTGACAATGAAGTTGCAAGCTCACCGGAATGTTCAACCATTGGAAGACAATACTTGACGGCAATCAACAAGCGCGGAACATCAGAAGGGAGTTACTTGCCAGATAGCATGAATTCGCTCCTCCAAATCGTCGCGTCTGCGCGTCCTGAGACATATTTCTTCATACTCTCGAATTCGTTTCAGAGCCCGCTTCGAAACTGCACGGGTCAAGAAAAACGAAATCAGGATTGCTCGTGAACACCATCTCATTTGTGATTTCCACGCTGAGCGTCCGTCAGCGCATGTATGCCCCAGGGCAAATGGTGTACACACCTTGATCGAGGATTTCACGGCGGCAACATCGATCTAACTACCATTGATCAGCTATAGACACGCGCATGGCATAGATCATCATCCGCACCTTCTTTCCTTTAGTATCATGAATTTCCGGTTCATCCGTGGTGTTGTAGACCTTCTGAAGAATGGTCGTTTTGCTCGCGTTTGCTCTCCCTATGATCAGAACTCGAAGGCGCCCAATTCTTTCTGAGGTTCGTGGTATCGATGGTTACCATTGTTTGCGTTCTGAAATCGAGGTGATTTGGTTGATCGTGAAAGCTGTACTGTGGTGTAGAACAAGATCGGATTCGTGGTGAGACATAACAGCGAACGAACACGGAGCAAGGGGTTCCTATAGCGCATGACACAACAGCTACACGACATGTATCTACCTGCATTGGGCGATCAATTCTACCTCCCAGTCGCACCGACACGGAGTTGCATTATTAATAGACAGTGACTTCGCTGCAGCGCTTCAAGTTGGAAAGGAAGAAATTGTAGGTGCTGAAGGAGAGAAGCACCAGAGTGCTCATTAAGATGGTCATCTACCAGCTATCGATGAGTCGGTGATTCCGTGCGGCTTCGCGGCAAGTTGAAGTGTAACCAAACATCCATCGAGTGAAAAGAGATGACTCGAGTCGGAGGCAGCATTGACACCGGTTCGAGGGAAATCCGGGGTCCTGCACTCGGTATTATAACAGTGGGTCCAAGATCTAAGCGATTTCAACTCACCTTGCTTTGACACGCACCAGAACGACTCGGAGTCATGACTCAGAAAATCAGAGTGACGGACGATGTCCTACGATCTATTCCTGATCCTGGGCAGGGCGCCGTGTAAGTTTATCAGATCATAGCTTCCAATTTATCATCTATATTGTCGTTGGCGCAGACTACCAAAGGATGGGGAAACAAACATCCTTATCACGTCCGCTTTGCCTTACTGCAATAATGTACCTCATCTTGGTGCGTTGTCAGATGTTCTATCATATCATAAGTCTGACGACGATAATCATCATTAGGAAATATTATAGGAAGCACCTTGAGCGCAGACGTCTTCAGCCGGTGAGTCACTTACTGGTGTCTTGTGATACGTGCTCAAAAACATCCTTGCTTGATAGATACAACCGTCAGTGATAGTCTCGCACAATCCTATATCCTCTCAACATTTTTACAGGGACACGGAATCGACGTACTCTCTATATTTGTGGAACTGATGAGTACGGAACCGCCACAGAGACTGCGGCTCTTAAGGAGGGTATAACTCCAAGAGAGTTGTGCGATAAATACTACGCCTTACATAAAGAGACGTATGAGTGGTTTGATATCGGGTGCGTATCCACCACACGCACTGTTTTTCTCTACTGAACTTCCTTAGCTTCGATCTCTTTGGGCGCACGTCAACCGCCAAACATACCGAGTCAGTGCAAAAATACAATTTCGTTACCACTCATTAACACCGAAACACAGGATATGTCAATCAATTTACCTCAACCTCGGCCAACACGGATATCTAGAAAGGCATATCAAAGATCAGACGTATTGTGAAGGCTGCAAAAAGTGAGTGTTGCTAAAAGCTAATAAAACAGTTCCAACATTCGCCTCAGGTTTTTGGCTGATCGCTACGTAGAGGGTATCTGTCCTCATTGCAACTTTATCGTACGTCAAACAGCTAATAATAATGCATATTCTCACTATCTGTCCCAGGATGCTCGTGGCGATCAATGTGATGGATGCAGTCGCACGCTAGATGCTATCGACCTAATCGAGCCTCGATGCTTGATTGATAAGACTCACAATGTCGTTGCACGTTCATCTTCACATATGTATTTCAAACTAGATGCTGCTCAACCAGCGTTAGAAGACTGGATCAAGAAGTCATGGAAGAAAGGGAAATGGTCACCCAATGCCACAATCAATGCCGATGGCGAGATCGTAGATGCGCGCATGAAAAGCGGACTTAAACCTACTCCGGTGACGCGAGATCTTGCCTGGGGCGTTCCTATTCCACCTCTTGGTCGAGAAGATGATAAGGAGATGGGTGGAAAAGTGTTGTGTGAGTAGCTAGTTCCCCTTAATCTCTCCGGTATATTGATGGGCGACGACAGATGTTTGGGTTAGTTGACAATACTTTTGTCTACACCGTGTCATAACACTTTCCCTGTAGTTCGACGCGGTCATTGGCTACGTCAGTATCACCGGAGAATATACCCCGGAATGGAAACAATGGTGGCTCAACCCGGATAATGTTCGACTGTATCAATTTATGGGCAAAGATAATGTTTATTTCCACACTATATACTTCCCCGCCATGTTGCTCGCGGATGGCAACAATTGGACGACACTACACCATCTATCAACCACCGGTGAGCATCAAATTTCAGACCGAGTCTCATTTCTGACCAGTTGGCATACAGAATACCTTAATTATGAGGGTGGAAAGTTCTCCAAGAGCAAAAATCGCGGTGTGTTTGGGCCCGCTGCTAGGGAAACTGGAATTCCCGCTTCCGTATGGCGGTATTATCTGCTCTCCACTCGTCCGGAAACTGCTGATGCCATGTTCTCGTGGGCGGATTGTGTAAGTTGGTCTGCGTCCCTATCACTAACTCCTTCTTGACCCTCTGGTTTTTCATAGATTGCCGCCAACAATAATATCCTTCTCAAAAAGTAATCGTCAAAATGAACATGCTGGACTGACACTGATTACTCGTTTGACAGCTTTGGTAACTTCGTCAATCGTGCCCTCAAGTTCCTCTCCGCCCAATACGACTGCGTCCTTCCAGAAAGCGGCGATGCTCCCGGCCCATTGTCCCCCAATGACCCCCTTGATGCCGAGTTTATCACCGATGTCAACACGTTACTCAAAGATTATATTGATGCGATGGAGAGCGTAAAAATACGACTCGGTCTTCAAACTGTCATGCTCATCTCAAGCCGGGGTAATGGTTACCTGCAAGCCTCGGGCCTGAACAAGGCCTTGATGACAGAAAACCCACAGCGATGCGCGCAAGTCGTATCGCGTGCCATCAACCTGATTTACGTTCTTTCGGCTCTCATATATCCTTTCATGCCCGCCACTTCGGATGCGCTGCTGCTGCAGCTGAATGCGCCGGCGCGTGTAGTTCCTGAGGTGCTCTCCACGGATATACTTTCGGGCCACCAGATCGGCCAGCCTGATCACCTGTTCAAGAACATTGACGAGAAAATGGAACAGGTGTGGAAGGTGCGCTTTGGCGGCGACGAGTCAGCTAAGAAGGAGGAGGAGGCACCTACGTCCAAACGCAAAGCAAAGAAAGCTAATGCTGCGCCGAATGGCGTGGTGGTCAGTGGGCCGAAATCGCCTGAAGTTATTGCTTTGGAAGCAAAGATTTTGGAGCATGGACAAGTTGTTCGTAGGCTGAAGGAGAATAAGGAGCCAAAGGATGTCGTAGATGCTGCGGTAACGGAACTGAAAAGGCTCAAGGGTGAACTTGTCTTGCTGGAGAAGTCGGCTGCGCAGTAAAGAAGCGTTGATTGAAGTTGTATTATTGTTCCAATCTCTTTCCCCGCCCCCGCCGCTTGTGTCTGCAAGCGTGATGAAGCGAATTATTGTGAATGTTGGAGGTGAGCCAATCGGGAGCTGATGGTGCAGCAACTGCAGCATCTCAAGCTTATTTCAAGCCCTGTCACGAATCCTAGAATGTTCAAACAAACTTCGTTCTAGTGTACGGTTGGAGGTCGAGTAGGAACTAGCGAGGACTAGTACCCGAGTAGCAGTAGTCCTCGTAGACAGTTGTTAGATTATTTGATAAGATAACGTTTTTGGGTGACCAATCTTGGACTGTTATTCCTCGAAAATTCTAGAAAGTTCCTCAATTGTGGTCTGGAATAGGATCGTACATATAAAAGTACCAGGGCTCAGAGGGGGAGTAATATTATCAAGGTGAAAGTCTGAAAGGATCCATCTTTACTACAAACACCCTCAATTTCAACGAGCATGTCAGATGTGTGTATAACATACCATCTAGTTCATTGCCTAACTAGATAATCTAACGCCTTACAGGTGAATGCGCTGAAAGACCAGGGCAACAAGGCCTTTTCTGCCAAGGACTACGACAAAGCGATCGAGCTATTCACAGCTGCAATCGCCATCGACTCTTCGAACCATGTCCTCTTTTCAAATCGGAGTGCTGCGAAAGCTGGCAAGAAGCAGTGGGCTGGAGCGCTAGAGGACGCAGAACAGGTGTGCACTGTCAGATTCGGGTCTGGCATGTTGATACTTATGCGGCGATTAAGTGTGTCAAGCTCAATCAGTCGTGGTCCAAAGGCTACGCGAGAAAAGGGGCTGCATTACACGGTGCAAGACGATATGATGAGGCTGTCGAGGTATATGAAGCTGGTCTTAAGTTGGAGGATAGCCCTGCCTTACGCAAGGGTTTACAAGAGGTGAAAGACGCAAAGGGTAGGCTACCCTCGCCCAACCAGATGAGAACAGTCACTGACTCCGCGCTACTGAATCCAGGTAGGGATGTAACTGAGTCCCTAGGCCTCGGAAAATACTTTTCAGACCCAAGCCTCATTGGAAAGCTGGCAACTAATCCCCGAACACAAAAACATATGGCTGACCCAGCGTTCGTGCAAAAGGTAGATCATCCCCTAACATTCCGCTCCATGTAACTAAACAACAACCTCCACAGCTCAAACTCTTCCAACAAAACCCCGCACTCGCTGATTCGTACGTTTAAGTCAAAAATCACTGTCCCTTGACAGCACTTAACCATTCTCTAGAGCTCTCCAGTCAGATTCCCGCATGATCGACGTTCTTGGTGTAGCGATGGGCATCGATATGCAAGGTTTTTCGCGCGACGATGAAAATGACGGGCTCCCACCCAATTTCAAGTATGGGCCTCCCCCAAAGGCTCGAACACCTCGGACCCCAGCCTGCATCCACATCGAGGACTCCGCCAACGCCAGCACCAGCACCAGCACGCGCACCAGCACCACCAGCACCAGTCCACGAGCCCGAAGATGTTGAAATGACAGATGGAGACGCTGAGGAGGCCAAAGCCAAGGCAGACGCACTCGCCGCAAAGGCTCAGGGCACAGGCGCACTACAAGGCGCAACGCTTTTCTGAAGCTGCAGAATACTTCAAGAAGGCCTGGGATCTGTGGCCAAAGGACATCACGTTCCTCGGAAATCTCGGTGCTGCATATCTCGAGGCGAAAGAGTACGATCAATGTATCACAACGTGCGAATTAGCTGTTGAGGAAGGCCGAGGAGTGAGTTACTCTCTTTTATGCACCAGACACCTTCTGACGCAAGATACAGCTCCGTGCAGACTACAAGATCATTGCCAAAATTTTTGGCCGTATCGGGACTGCTTACACTGCAAAGAACGACCTAGTGTCCGCGAAGAAGTACTTCCAAAAGTCACTCTCTGAACACCGTGACGCTGCCATCCTCGCGAAGCTTCAAGCCACCGAGAAAGCCATTGCCGAGGCCGAGCGGCAGGCATACATAGACCCCGCCAAGTCTGCTACCGCGCGCGAGGAAGGTAATGCTGCATTCAAAGGCGGTGACTTCGCAAAGGCCGTGAAATTGTACGAAGAGAGTATTAAGCGTGATCCCTCCGATGCAAGAGGATACAACAACAGGGCAGCAGCGTACATGAAACTCATGGCATTGGCTGAAGCGCTGAAGGATGCCGACAAAGCAATCGAGGTCGATCCCACATTCGGTGAGTTCTGATTGCGTCCAATTGTCCGCAGGCCATCTTTGAACGTTAGCTTTAGTCAAGGCATACATCCGGAAAGCCACGATCCTGCAAACGATGCGCGATTATAGTAAGGCTCTTGAAGCTTTACAAGCCGCTTCATCAGCCGACACCGCCAATGCACACGCGCAAGAGATTCAAACTCAGGAGAACAAGATTCAGCAAGCATTGTTTACTCAGCGTTCCGACGAGACGGAGGAACAGACCCTCGAGCGAGCCATGAAGGACCCCGAAGTCGCTGTGAGTATTATCCGAACTTGCTTTATCGTCGTGGTGTTAACCGAAAATTCTTCTGCAGCAAATCATGGGTGACCCCGTGATGCAGCAGATTCTGCAGCAAGCGCAAGGCAACCCTGGCGCATTACAAGATCACATGAAAAACCCTGTCGTACGTCAGAAGATTATGAAACTCATCAACGCAGGAATTATCAAGACAAGGTGATTTGCGCGGTAATGTTTGAATCACACCAGTAATTGTAGTTGTATCAGTTCAAATATCATTTGCTTTATCAACTACTCTCCTCGCAAACTTAATTGTACATGATACTCGTCTTTGCCAACTTAAATCAAGGTGTCGCCCAAGAGTAGTCCAGCATTTGCACATCCCTGAACAAGTCCTGCACGGTCTTAACACGAGCAACCCACTCTTCCTTCGTCGTCAACCCCTCAGCATCCACTTCATGCCAAGCCTTTACACTCGCATGGACCTCCTCAAGCGTGCTAAGCCCTACCGCAACGGGCACCCCAATCTCCCTCGCCCGCGCAAACGTATACTGCAGCGCCAAGTCAGGAAGACCAGTCCCAGACGCATCCCACTCCTGGCTGACCTGTGCAGCCCTCTGCGCAGCCTCCCTAATCTCGAGTGGCGCCGGGTGCCAGTCCAGAGAACGTGAAGGCCGCAAGAGAGCCATGGCTATCGGCGAGGCGGCGATAACTTGCTTCACTCCCGCGCGTGCCCCGAATGCGGATTTGAATTGCTCGAGCGTGCTATTCTGCAGGGTGAGGTGGCAGTAGGACATCACGAGGTCCACCGGCTTCCCGAGGCGCTTCTGGATGAGAATTGCGATGCGTAGGAGGGTTGGAAGCGGGAAGCCTGACACGCGCTTGTTAGTATCCGGAAATTGATCCAGATCTAAAGCTGTACTCACCGCTGATCCCGACTCGCTTAATAACACCTTTTTCATCTCGCAACTCAAAAAGCTTCTTCACAGCGGACAAAACTTTGTGATCCTTTTCCGTATAAGCCTCGTCCTCCTGACTTTCATTCAAGCCATATTGTTCGCTCTCTTCTCCCAGAGCAGCAACATGGTTTCCTCCTCTTCTCGCGAGCTTTTCGTCCGCAATGAATTCGACATCATGCAAGTATACGATGTCAAAGTAGTTGGTATGCAAGCGCCGAAGACTGCGCGCGATACTACTCTCGATAGCTTCAGGGGCATAATCGAATTCGGTAGGATAGCGGCCGACTTTAGTGACCTACATGCATTGCTGTTAACCCTCCTTTCACCATGGCATGAGCACACGTACCAACGTATACGAATCACGAGGGAATTCACGCCCCAAAGCACGAAGAGCGTTCCCGAGGATGATCTCGGCATCCCCATAAAATGGCGCAGTATCGAATACATTCATACCATAGCTGTCGGCTTCTCAGAAATATATGCCATGCCGTCTAGCAAGCCACCTACCGTAGAGCCAGTCTGGCAGCCCGTAATGGTGTTACTCCGGAGATATGATCGGCGTCATTATAGATGCGGGAAAACGTAGCAGTACCAAAGATGACCGCAGGGAAGCCATTCGACGTCGTAGTCTGATGATCGAGAGTCAGCACAGGGCCGTAATGTCGAGCATGCGAGTTACCAGCTTGTACGTATCATTTGGCTTGTCAGCATCATCATCCGGTATCTCATCAAGAGGAGGAAGAGGATAAAGAGGATCAGGATCGTCGAAGTGGACCACCATACCACTTGATAGACTAGTACAGGTCGTCAGTGGGATAATCGCAATTCGTTCAACGTGGTCCTTTAACACTATCCGGTCTCAAGAACTAAAAGCAGCTATAGCTATCCGGCCCGAAGCATATGACATGGTCACATGAAACTGTCATGAATAGTGGAAAACATATCCAGGAATATAATTGAAACTGTAATATGACAACGAGCACGACCGAAAGAAAGGTATAGCACTCCTCCAGCGTGAGCTAAAGTTATAGTTTTTCCCTCGACCAGCTAGCAGTACCAATGGGTTAGCCCAGCCCACGCATGACGCATACGACACACCTCTTTGCAAACCTCGAGTTGACATCCAAAATTTTGGTGTTTTCATCTTGTTTGACGTCGTTCCAGGGAGTTGGGTTACTCTTCGTCCAAACAACTGTTCACTCGTTCGTTAGCAGATACGAATAAAGTCAGAAAGAAGGTATGATGTACCCGTAGGACCACGAGCGAGGCGGGTTAAATACCAGCCTGCACCACCGACGGCCAAACCAATAACGGCGTAGCTGTTCGGTCGTCAATAAAAATTCAACTTTAGCAACGCGGAGATACGAGCTCACATAGGAATTGCCTGAGCACAGTGAACCGGTCAGCTCACGCAAGCACAGACTATGGGAAATGTACCTCGATGGCAAACCAATTGCGCATGAAAGTGCGTGCTCCCCGGGGTGCTACCATGGTGGTTAACGTTGAAGTTGCTGAGGCTTCAAGCTGGTTTCTGGATTGACCGAATTGTTCTCGCATTGTTCCCACGCCTACCAGCCGGGACCTACCGACTTTCAGCTGTAACTCAGTCTCACAATCGTTCGATCGCTCAATGAGACCCAAGAAATGCATAAAAAATATGAGCATGAATGAGGACATTCCTCAGATGTTCTTAGAAGGTACGTAATAATATAATACAAAGACAACAATATTGGCACAGGATAACATGACCTGCCCCTCCGGGCAGTCATAACACGACAAAGAAAAATGAGGGGGATGTGAGAGTATGTGACACGTCAATCGGAGATGTAGGGGTAGGAGTAGGAGGAACATAGGAAAGAAAAAGACATGGGCTAGGACAAGCATATATCGGGCAACATACTAGCAGGGTTGTTCACAAGAAAATATTGGCACCCTTGCCAGCACCGCAAGGAGCGACCGCAAGACAGCGTCCTATGCCGTTAATATGGTTATTGCCCAGTCGATTCCTCAGCTTCTCCAATTGCTGATCCCTGGAAACAAATCTCCTCTCAATCGAGCGTTGTACACCAGGACAGGCACTAGAAAATGATGATGCTGCCTCTGCAACATCATCAGTCGAGCCAACTGAGGTCCCAGGTACAGTGCGCGATGCAATCGCAGCCGCACCCGGCGTCCACGAGAGGGGAATAAAATTTGACAATGTCTGGAATGAAAATCGTGCCGCGAGCGGTGAATGCATAATTGACGATAAAGATGAAGTCGAGGCGTGTTGATCAAGGTATTCACAAGTGTCGGAGGAATCTGATTTCGCTTCTGCTATCTTCTCAGAGGTGTCGTAATATCTGAGAGTTGCACCGTTGACTGTGAAAACCAAAGAGAAAAAGTTAGAACCCACTCATGGATGATCTGAGGTGAGGCGTAAATGCCGAACCATTTGTAGCATCCCTTGTAACGCATCAGCGGAACAGGAACGCGGGATTTTGAAGGACTGAAAATCTTCGATGGCGATGGCGAGACTGGTTGAGGAATGAAGGATGAGGTGGTCCCGCCGCGCCGTGACGGAGGGGTAACAAATGATGTCGTCGGACAGTCTGCCTGTGCATTAAAACGATCACTCGCGCTTCTGAGTGGTGTAGCAGAAGAGGGCGGTGTGAGTGGCATGAATGAGCGCAGTGAAGTTGCACGAGGAATTGACGATGGAGAGCTACTTGTTCGGCTTGATGGACGGCTGCTGCTCTCCGAAGTTGGTGGTGAAGAGGACGGTGGAGTGATCGGCTCCTGTACTCTGCGCTGGGGGAAAGTGAAGGGGAAAGCATCATCTTCCTCATCATCAAAAGGCTCATAGATAAGGACAGGTTTTCTCGCAGCAGATACCGATTCGGAATCAGTTGGAGGCGTGATGCAGATAACAGGAGGAGGACCGCAGACAGTTGGCGGAGGGTTGAATGTGAAACGGATCCCGCCCTCAACTTCCTCGCCATGGAGTTCGCCATCATTCTCGTCATCAGCGTCGCCTTCATCATCTTCGTCTTCCTCCATCACAATATCAAGGCTCCTCGACGTCGAATCGACGACAGTGCCAACGTCTGAAGGGATGACAAAAGGTGGCAACTCATCGTCATCATCGTAGGAAAGACCGAATGTCGATGTGAACATCGCTTTGCCCATCTCCTCAGAACCAAGTGGAGGGGAGTTTTCAGCGTCATCGAGGCATCCAAAGAATCGGTCGACCTCATCAACATCACGCTTGACTGTGAGAGGCTGGCCCCTGGGGAATGTCCACGTCTTAGATAGTGAATTGTGTCGAGAATGCGAAGACCTCGACGAAGCTGGTTTGGACAATGAGTTGAGTCGGTTTGTAGCCTCGTTCAGGACTGAGACTGGCTTGAGGTCGAGTTCGCCCGCGGAGCCGATGGATGAGCCATCTGGACTCTGAAAACTGATGTCAGAGTCTTCTGCATCTTCGTAACCGGCCAACTCATCCTCGTCAGAAAAGTCGCAGCTGTCCTGGTACCCATCCTCATCTTCCTCTGTGACAGCATCGAGGGTCAATTCAGCCTTGGTAAAGCTGTGATCGACAGACTCGACATCAGTCGAAGAACCGTCAGAGTCGATGGACTGGAAGCCAAGTCCACGAGGACGGATGTCATAAGACCGACTAGGTACTGAACTTTCGTCCTGCCCACCAACAGAAAGTGGAATGGTGGGAGTATTGAGCAATCCGGCGTCATCTAGAACTTTCTCTAGCTCGGCGCGCCTGGTCCTCTCTTGTTCGAGTGCGGCGCGGAGGCGGATGACTTCATTTACTGCGTTGTCAGCATCTCGGAGACGAGCACGCAACCTGTCCAGTTCCTCCCTCATACCATCACATTCCTTCTTAAATTGCTCGCTCTGGTTTATTGATTGCTGGAGTTCGGCATTCAAATTACCGAGGGTCTTGTCCAGGCTACGCTTCTCGACTTCCAGTAGACCAAGCCGCGAGCGAGCCACCCAGGCTTCTCTTCTTTCAGCCTCAACTCGCCTTGCTAGGACGCCGGCTTGTTTATCTGCATTAGCTACGCGCATGCGCCATCCATCTACGTCTCTCTTCAGCTCGTCACGCTCAGCCTTAAGATCTGAAATCAGCTGCAGCATCTCGTCGCTTGGCTCGGATGATGCTGCCGAAGCCTCTGAAGCCATGGAAAGAGGACGCGATCGGGACATCGATCGCGAACGTAGCGTGCGCTCAAGATCCATTATGCGAGCCAGGAGCACATTGTGCGATCTAAATAAAAAATGTTGCTCGGCTGTGGCAAGGGACTGTTCTGCGACGAATTTGACATCGTTTAACTCTGAAAACCGGCGGTCGGTAGGAGTTGAATCAGGTGTGGGCAAAACACCCATGTCACGAGGAATGGAAGTAACGGAGCGTTTGTATGAAATGCTGCTGCGTTTCCTGCTGATATCAGAGCTTTCAGATGAGATAGAACGATGTGAAGTGAGACTGAAGGAACCGGATGAAGATGGCGTGACAGTGGTGGAGTGGCAATCCGTGCTTCCTTTCGTGAGTTTGGCGTTCGTGAACGAGGTGTCAGAGCCGGATGTCAAGGCGAGAGATCTCAGACCATTGGGCGGATGGTGCGGCGTAAGAGTGGGCGTGGGTAGATTTCCGGGTGTGCAACTGACAGCATTTCCAGAAACGAGAGAGAGGGGCCTGAGATTAAGGCTGGCAGGACGGTGACGTGAAACAGATTTTGTCATTGTAGAAGCTGGAGTAACGAGTGGGACAGCGGGAGCTTCCGTAGATTCCTCGACAACCTCGGCAACTTGAGCGGGACGTTCTTCTTGGGATTCCTCTTCCTCTTCTTCTTCCTCCTCAACTAGTGTCTGAAGCTGATCTTTGGAGTTAGAAGTAGAAGTAAAGAGTTTGCCGAATGAATCGCGCTTGTTCATGAGGCTACTAATACTATGCCCACTGATACCAGTACCAGGAGGGAAAGACGGCTTGGTTGCTACATGCCATTTGTAAATATAGACTGTGGGGATCAAACGAGGTAAAACTCACGGAAGTCAAAAGACTTTGACAGATTGGGTGACGTGATATCAGGAATTTCGACCTTGGAGAAAGCAAGGTCAGGCTTTCCCTCAAGAGCCCAGAGTGCCCTGCGACGAATAGAATCCCTGTCGCCAAGATTTACGTTATCATCTGAATTAGCTGCTGGAAGGTCAGGAAGGGACACGCCCATAAGCTCTGCCGACTCGCGGCGAGTTGATACAGAAGAACGACGCCTGTGATGGGAATTTGGGCGCTTTGGAGGAAGTGCGTTTGAAGGTGCATTATTGAAAGAAAATTCAACTGGAGAGGGGAATGAAGGTGCAGAAGCAGAAATAGATAATGTTGCAAGAGAAGAGGTTGAACTGTTGCGAGAGCGAGATCGTCCATGTGAATGTTTTGGAATGTAATTGTTTAAACTATTGGCTGGAGCGCCACCACCCATCTTGAACGATTCAAACTGGACGCAAGTATGAGCATAAGCCAAAGCGACCAGAAGCCCACTAACCCTCTGTTTGGCTGCCATACTGGATTCTTGAAGTTTGTCAGAAACGTCGAAAGTCTGGTCCATAATAACGTCGGAAGGAGTGTAACTTGAAGAGACTGTGTGGTTTAAAAGAAGGTAAGGAGCCGTACGCTTAAGACGTCGGAATGGCAAGCGTCGAGGTTGTTGATGATGGCGAGCAGCAAACCCGACTTGAACCAATTTCCACCACCCAAGTATGTTCGCGTTTCAAACTCCGCTTCGCCACCCTGCAATACCTGTGAATTAAATGTGCCCGTGGGACGACCCTGTATATCCTCTAGATCGCCGTATGGGGCCATGCGCGTTGAGCAACCATGAGCTAGCAATGTTAATTGTCCTGGTCCCCATCGCAGCTAGCAACATGCAAAGCTGCAAAGTGTCTTTCCAAATGCGGAAACCAACACGCGCCCCTAATGCGCGCTTCATTAATTTCCTACTGGAACCGAAGTCACCGAACCAGCGCACAACTGCGGTCTTTTGTTCTTGCATGCAAGCAGATGGTTACCTTGATGTATGAGCGCTTGATATGATACGCACAGCACAAATATTAAGTAGAATCCATATTTCGAAATTAATTTGAGTGAGCGCACTATAACATGTCTGCTCATGAGAGGTGAATAATCTCTATTAAGTATTCTACTAAGTAATTCTATAAGATAAGAAAAATAAATGTGATGGATATGCGAATGCGAGGTGTACGTATTGCGGCGTGATGAAAGATGCAGGACCGAAAACAAGAACAGCTAAATGTATCCATGGACGCACAGACTTACGAGAAAAAGTATTGCGACTGCTTGATCGTCTCCACATCGAAGTCACCTTTCTTCGGCAAAGGCGGAAGTATAGCGCTCAAATCAACGAATTTATCCACCAGAATCGAATCAACGTCGTCCTCGCCCACACAGTCATCATCACCTTCCTCATGGTCCATAACTGCCGACACATCATTTTGGGCGCATTCGATCATGACCACGTTTTTTACGGGTCGGCCGCGTTTTCCTGTTTTGGGCTTTGGAGTCTCAGTCTGCGTGAGCTTCGGAGCCTCAGTCTCCGTTTTCTTTGAAATCTGGGCGATGGATCCAGCTTCTTCGTCTGAAACATCCATGATGTTGTCAAACCCGCCTAGACGGAGCGCATTTGCCTGTTCAGACGACGCCACAATACGCACGCCTGCAGCTTGGAGGTTCTTCAAGAGCTTCCCGCTGCGAAGCGATGTCAGGGGAATCTTGTGGGATGCATATCGAGTCCGGAACTCTGTGGCCAATTTCTCAAGCACATCAGAAGAATGCAGCGCAATGAACGTGTCTCGGATGATTTCAGACATCTTGTCGATGCTGCTAGCATGCGTCCAATAGGAATCGTGCACAGACGCAAACGTTAGCCCCTGGGTCTATAAACACGCTCATCAATCATAAAAAAGTCCAAAGCCAACGGAACCTACGCGGACACTCAAGGGCGGTCAACATCATATGAGTAGCATCGAGACTATGAATGAAGTTGGGCGGGAATGCAGACGCCTGCTTGACAGCGTTCACTTCGGCAGGCGCATTAGGGTCAGAGATGAACACGCTTTGAATGGACGTCATGACCTGCTTGCGCTTCGTCTTACGGTAGGGCTGTATGATGGGCAGGCCGAGGGGCGTCGTCCACACGACGGACGACATCTGTTCTTTCCTGATACGATTCTTGGGGAGCGAAGAACCGTTCTTCTTGCGTCCTTTGGGAGCTTGCAATGCGTCTGGGACGCGCTCGGCTGGGATAGACTTGGAGATCAGACGGGCGCAGAGGTTCAGCCAAGTTTGAATGGCTTTAGCTCCTGAGAACAGATCACCGATGCAAACGAGCACCTTTGGATAGACAAGTGAGTCCAAGGCTGTCAAATGGGAGAGAATACACACCCTCTTGGCGAGGTAAGCACTAGCACCCCAACACTCTTCCTCTGGAATATCCTTCCTATCCTTCAGCTGCCTCTCAATCTGCTCGCGAGCGCCGATATAAGTCACTCCGTACACCGTAGTCATCACCTTTTCCCCCACATCAGTTCATAACTCCCAAATCAATCAACCAAACAATCACTCACAGTTTGCTTGACCACTTTTCTCGAAACCGCGACCAGAAAGCATAGCTGCATACTTATCGCCATTTTTCAAATCTTCCTCGAGCACCTTCTCCACCATGTTTGCAACGTACGTATACACATCTGACGGTCGGTCGGTCACGCTCAGATTAACTTGCGCAGCACCTTTAACATCACCACCAAGAGCAGCGTAGTGCTGTAGCCCGTTACACGTCCCGTCCTGATGCACCGGGAGGGACGACATGTATGCGTGTGGATCGCCTGATTCGAGCGCCGCGTGCAGTTCCATGCATGTTGCGAGACATTGCCAGGGATCATCAGCTTTCGTCCACCATTTGTTACCCTGTTCGGCGCATCAGCACCAAGGCACCATGATAAGAAGGTGGAGACGCACATCGAGAGGCTTTTCAGCGCTATCATACACATCCTCAAGATGATCCATCACGAACTTGACGCGCTCGTCAAAGTTCCCCTTGTCGAACCCATACAAGTTTGCAAGGTGAATTTTGAGCCACCGCAAGCCTTGTTCGCCGAGGGGCTGCGTTTCACCGAACATTAGCAGCCCACGACTGAGGTCATCACCGATGTGGTTGAAATGTGGAGGAATAGGATACGCGCGTCCCCGGAAATCGAGGTTGTGAGGAAGGTACATCGTATCACCCAGAAACTTTTATTTTATCAGATTGCTAGCGCGAAAGAATAGGATGAAAACTTACAGCGCGTGCAATCTCGATCTTATAGTTGACGCTACACCGGTCAGAATGATTGTTCGCTTTGTCCTGCATGAACGCCTTGAGACGCGCCCCGTACACGCTCTTGGCTTTGATATCCGTATTCATGTTCAGGGGCTTTTCTGGCTCTGGCTGGTCGTATGCTGCTGGGGGGATCTTGCACAGCCGTTCACCAGAATTCCAGACTTTGAGTACGATGTCGAAAATGTTCCGGTTAATCTTCCAAGGTGTGCTACCGAGAACGTCAAGTCCTGCATACACGAGCTCCACATTACCGAGTGAGGTTGCATGCTCCAGGTAGGTTTGCTGTTCTTGGCAGTCTTTGAAACGCATAGCGGCAGCTAGTGAATGAACAATGTTAGCGAGCCGTTGATAAAGGCTGGCGGGTATACTCACATCGATTGTAGAGATATCCACCCCGGTCATGGTTGAGCCAAGGCTTGGGCTTGACGAGCATGGGTAGATGACGCGGGTGAAGCGTTTCGCGCAAGCCGTCTTTTGCGATGCGTTCCGAAACCACAGGATTTAACCGAATGACACCGAGTTTCTGCCCGCGCACATATTCATACGCATGGTAGAACGCTGGTTGATTCTCTTTACTGCAGAGAGTTTTCAACCAATGCAATATACAAGAGACAAACAAACTTACATCTCCTCGTTGGTGCGCTTATCAACAGCAGTCCGCTCGATCGTCGCAGAATCCATCAGACAGTCTACGAGGATACTCCCAACGCGCACCCTAAGTACCTGCGTCCACTCTGATGTCCACTCCTCGCTGTCCTCCATGTACTTTGCAGCCGTCATCCGGCGCGCATGCAAGTCCTTGTACCCGAGGCCCGTGAAATAACCAGTAAACTCGCCTGGGCGTGCATGGGAAGGGATGGCGATATGGTTGCGCTTGCACATCTCAGCTTTGTACTCATTCTCGACAGCACGCCCGACGGTGAGGAGCGCCCGAGCAGTTTTCATCCCATCTGAGACACCGCCGCTGCCTTGGAGGCGCATGATCTCAAGGATAGTGATAAGGGAAAGTTTCTCGGGCTTAACAAGGGAGAGGAAGGGGCCCATTCGTTGAACTTGATTGCTTGTAGCTAGCTGGCGGTTAATACAAATGTCTGACAAGCGCGTATATGCTTACATATTTTTGCCTCCGCAACGATGATCTCTTGTATTTCTGCCTCGAGACGCGTTTTGAGCTTTTGATGCCAGTCCCACATCCACTTTTGTAAATCTGCATGATGAAGTTCGCGGTTGCCTAAACCTAGCTCGTCAAAAAGTTTGGCTTCATGACGGAGGCGCTCTACTGCAACGTCGTAAACCGATTCTTCTAGCAGTTTCTGTCGGGAAGCGAGGTCTTCTGGGAGGACGCGTCGTGCAAGGGTAACCTGAGCCAAGTGTTTGCGGAGGTTATCGAGGTTGAAGGGAACTTCTTCCTCAGACTGTGCAGGTATTACATTCCCGTTTTCATCTAAGGTCTCTTCGGAGGGTGTCTAAGGAGATGTGAGCGAGATGAAAACGAAAGCACGCAATACGTACAGCGAGTCGTAGGACAGGCTTGACCTCCGGGACGCCCTCCAATGGGTCTGGGACATGACTCCCAAGGAATTCTGCCTGACCAAGTTCAGCCAATATACGAGGATGATTGAGATCTACTGCAGATTTGGAGAGGAGTTTTATGATCTCTGAGGCTTCTTCTGACGATGCCAAAACGCGATCGGCGACGACAGCAGTAGGTGAAATGTCTCGCTCTATGAGGTTGCTAAGGAGGGTTGTCGGGTTGGGCAGGTCGGAGAGGTGGACGGGCGTGTCAGACTCGGGACTAAATCTAGAAAAAGTGGTTAGAGTAATAAGGGCAAGGAGACTAATGAAGCGTACCGTCTCCATGCTAACAGCATTATAGCATATGTAGACGCGGTCGGGTGGACTCTATCTGTACCCTTTTCCATGAGGTCGTAAAGGTGACACGCATCCTCGACCCACAAAGTTCTATCTTCGGGCTCCTTGACAAATGCCATGTGGATATAGGCCTCCAAGAAAGAATTGTATATGCGAGACTCGAGCAAGGGTTCGTGGGACTTGGTGGTTCTAAGCTGCTCGAAGATCTGCTTTGCACGGGGAACGTCATACAGGTTATGCAAACATGCATCCATGACAGCAAGCTGGTCCTGAGTTGGAGAATCAGTGAAGTAGAAGCTGTTCAAAGCTGAAGCACGGTCATCTGGAAGAGGGGTTGGCAGGATTGTGTACGGGGTTCTGCGCTTCAGAAAGCCGTTCATAGCTACAAGGTGGTTTGCTGGTACTTCCTTCTGAGCCAACAGGGAAGTATAATCTGGATGGGGGAGAGGGACTTGGGCGAATGCGGTAGCAGGGGCATTTGCTGTCTTTGTGGGAGTTGAATAAAGACGAGCAGGACGAGAAAGACGTTGCCTAGAATACGACAACTGACGAGCAAACATTTTTATGAAGAGGGACACCAAAGCAAATGATGAAGAGGACCGGGTTCGGCAAACCCCGCTCACATGAGCTTCGAAGTTTATATGTAGCGATAAAGTATCCATTCGTTCACCCGTGACTAACGCATAGCCTTCACCTATCTGTATCACTATGCCCACAGTTACAAAGCTTGTACCAGAGGAGACTGTATTCTTCCTCTGCGACGTGCAAACACGGTTCAGTACGCTTGCTTCTGGATCCACTGTGAACAGCATAAATTGACTGTCGTGTCATTCCGAATCAGAGAATGCCATCTTCGGCTTTGACGAGCTTGTATTGGCAATCAGTAAGATGCTCAAGATAGCAAAGGTAAGATCAACTCCCTATCACGCCTTTACTGCTAGTACATAGATATATACAAGGTGTTGGATATCCCTGTGATCGTCACGGAACAGAATCCCCAAAGGTGGGCCCATCCTCGTCCTTCCTCTTCGAAATGAAACCATCCAAGAGGAAAGCTCTTGGGAACACCATCCCCGACATCGATTTACCTTCCCTGGGGCCCCTTCTCCTTGCTAACATCGAGAAAGGGCTCTTCTCCATGGCGACGCCGGAAGTGAAGGCCCTACTCCATGAACGCCCACAGATAAAATCTGTGGTGCTTTTTGGCATCGAGGTTAGTTTACCTTACAATGATTGGTTCATTAGTCAAATCGTCCCATCCAGTCACATGTCTGCGTGTTGCAATCTGCTCTGGATTTTATCGAGGCAGGATATAATGTCCACGTGATAGCAGATGGTGTCTCTAGCTGTAATAAAGAAGAGATCCCCTTTGCCTTGGCGCGAATTCGACAGAGTGGTGGATACATCACTACGAGCGAGAGTGCGGCCTTTCAACTGCAACGTGCGCTTTTCATTTTAGATTATGGGGTGGCCTACTCATTGATTCCAGGAGATGCCGGTGCTCCTGGGTTCAAATCGTTCTCAAATGTCATAAAGGAAGAGAAGGATAACACGGTAAGAACGTTGCAGAAGCTGTTGCAATACCGTGCTGTCTTGTAGACTATAATTTCCCTGCAGTTGTTTGCCATGATTGTGTATTAAATTTTCCCACTCGAGAGAGGAGAGCTTTACCCAGTCGACGACCAAGGCAAGAGTGGGAATCGCAACAACTGCATCAAGGTCATCAAGACATCCATTCGTGATGGTCATATAAGTGCTTGCACATACTTACTTTCCGAATCCTCTTAGCTCATTGACGCCGGCGATGCGCACGCCAGACATCTTCGATAACAAATGTTTTCGACTCGCTCGGACTCATCTACATATTGCAAGGATGGGGCGCTTGATCCTGCGGAAGCAATTTGCGTGCACGCCATGCCCATATGCACGCTCAATCGAGCCCCTCTGATGTTCCACTTTGGCTCAAGCGTGCATTCTATTCGAGTATTGTTGACGAGTTCTCGAGCAACCTAAAACCCAAAGATGAGCAGGACACATGCATCCAAGTATTCGACGATTTACATCCTGTTTTCTAAAAGTGCATCTGCTCGAGCATCAACTGTACTGTCCATGACCTGCTCAATTCGTGTGTGTTAATATTCGCCATTCACTCGGGGCACACGCGGTTCTTGCATTGTTATTGAGCCGGGAATCAACTTGGTAAGTCAACATAAGTGGGGTGTTCGTGGTTCATTCATCAACTCTGAATTCTCCAGCAGATCCTGAGGCGGTCAAAATATGTCAATCAAGTATAAAAACTTGAGTATTTAGTGTCAAGTGATGAACGACTATCAAAATTCCTGCCTCGACTGCTACAGCCGCTATACACGTAATGCAGACTTCGGCAATATCAATGAATATCGATGATACTCGAGCGAATGGCGAAGCACAAATTAGGGCTTGAAATCACTCCTCACGTCTCTTCAAGTTAGTCAATATCGTGTATTCAAGTCACGAATTCAAAGGCGCTCCCATTGCCTATGAAGCAGGGAAAATTGTCCAGACTCCAGGAACAACTACATTGACCAAGTCAGCAACGGACTATATATTGTGCTATCAGTACAGCACTAATGCGAAAGCAGAAGTACGATTCACCATCCAGATGTGCTCATAGACAGGTTGCCAGCCATCGGTAAGCAGTCTTAGTTGCAGAGTAGTTGACTACCACGCTATTGACAGCAAGGGGTGGTGAGCAACGGGGTTGAATCCTAGATGCAAAACAAACTACTCATACTCACCACCACCGGAGCACAGTTATGACTGCAGCAATCACTGTTCGTGCTGCAGGGCTTTAACCAGCCCTTGCACTGTGCAACAACAGACATACATGCTGCTAAGGTAGTAACGACTGCGAGGAAGGAGAAATGCATGATTTATGCGAAGTGATACAAGCTTTGTAAAAGGGACTCTGAGCTACTGAGGCAGACGAAGATTGCTGTAATACACAGGAAATTTCATTTTGGGAAGAACTTCCAAGAGGTTCTACCGCTTTGGAATATTGGTTCAATGCGTCTGGATGGCAGGACTCCACAACGGATAGTTTAGGATGAATTTATTGGAATCCCAGAATCAGAACCTGCCTTGCATATATCTCCAGCTGATTCATCGTTGGCCACGTTATCTCAAAAAAATGGAAGCCCGAGTACGCAGTCTAAATCGTTAATAATCTTGTTTATTCACATGGATAGTATGAAATAGACGAGAATGACTCACATAGTAAAGACTTCGCGAAGAAAACTACAAGACAGCGCGATCCAGCAAAACCTGCTCCAGCTGGTTGTCGTCGTTCGAAGTCCTCCCCTCCTGGCTGCATTTCTCCATTGTCTTTCATCTCGAACGACATTCGCGACAAGCTCTAAGTAATGCAGCGCAGGTGTCGACGGTCCCCGGACAATCGCCACGTTGACAAAGGCCAGAACCCACCTCTCCACATTGAGGCTCCGATTTGGTCCACTCACATCTTCACTGACACCCGGAACGGTATACCACATGAAATTGGACTGCGAGCTGGACATGAACGTCCATACCAGTACGGTGAGCGAGGACGGGTCGAGGTTGTAGAATTTACTGTTCTTGTCTCAGATGTACATCGCGAGCGCGGCCGATCCAGCGTATACCACGATGACCGCAAAAGACGGAATAAAACTTTCTGGATGCTAGGGTGAGCACACCACGCTGAGGGCTGTATATTAATGACAGCTACTACAGACTCCGTGAGTGGCTATGTGACGATACTAGCAGTGATGCAACAGCAGCTGATCATACCCGTAGACACCACGCCAACAAGAGCATATCTACCCAGCTTCGTCTGAAACTCGGGGTCTGGTGCGGTGCGACTAGGTGGGTTGGGCTATGCCTGAAGCGTCAACTCTAGGAGGGACACAAGTGACAAGTGTGAAAACCGCTTATCCACATGCAAAAATTTCTGCGGTTAGCGAATTGACCGGCAACAAGCCTAATCTAAGTGCCGTAGCTCAAACAACATGGCCGGCAAAGGCTGCGAGATGGCCAAACGCCACTTATCCAAATGTCCGGTTGTATGCTTCGTAAGCCAGAGAGCGCCAATGCCCAGCCATGCGAACGATTTCAGAGTCTACTTTCTGGGCCAGGTCGAAAGAAGCGCCACTAATGCTGAAGGAATGTCCGAAGGTAGTGCCCCAACTATGAGTGACCTGAATGCCATTGATCCATGGGAGTGTGCGGCAAGCACCATTGATCATATCTGCGCGTGAGAATCTTGCCAGAAGAATAAAGGGTCGGAGGCTAGTGCAAGGATAGCTCGAGCAAGGTTGTGCGGTGCGAGTGGGCAGATAATACCTTGTACTGTTAGGGATACAAACTGTTTCACCAGCTCATGCTGTATGCAGGTCTATGCGTGCATAGGCTTGACCAAGTAAATCGGTCCCGAAGGATGGGTGAGGTGACGGGTAGGAGTGAAGTCGGAGAGGGAGTTGACTGAGACTTCACAAAAACGCATCAGGCTAAAGGTGCAGCAGGCCATTTCCCGGACACAAGTGTCGAAGGGTTCATTGAGGCAGAAAGTGCTTTTCAGGAGAGTGAGCATGACGAGGGTGATTGGATGGACTTGCAACGGGTGGCGTATATGTTCTGCATGATGTGTTCGTGGTCATCCATGAGACAATGGCAAGGGCCAACTCTGTGCCAAGCTCAGACAGCGGCCAGGTATTTCCTGACAACGGGGACTGAGACAGGCTCAAAGGGCTGTAACGTGGCCCAGGTATGGGGTCATCAGGTGCTGAGTCTGTGGCTGCCAACAGGGCAAATGAGTGGAGCACAGCAAAGGAGGCAGGCGAAAGTTCTTGGTAACAGAGAAGATGTCACAGAAGAGGTGGAACTTGCGTAGGCCCGATCCATAGGACACAGTATCGTGAAAAGGCACCGGAGAGGCATGGGAAGCAGTGCCAGCGAGATACAGTCGTCTAGCGTCCCGACAGGCCACTGGGTTATTCGTGCGAGGCGTGCCATCATCACAATGGGATTAAGAGCCTACGGAGGTGTTCTGGTAGTAAACACGATACCCAAGTGGTCACAGAGGAAAGTCGTGTAGAAATGGGGTCACATCGCCACGGGATAGACTACCTGAGTGCGTCTGTCTGGGAAGAAATTGTGCAGTTATGTATGGTGGTCTCTCAGAGTCCTTGATGCATGCATGTATGATGTGTTAGGTGACTCCGCTTAAGTTGAGCAAAATGGATTCCCACGATGCACTGGCATGATGCTGCTGCATGTTGTGCTGCGTGTTTACAATCTATTAATCAATTTGCCGTTGTTATTTTTACCTCTGGAATTGATACGGCTTCCATCGAGGATCGCGCGGGCCGTGTTGTACACAGCTACCTCTTAAGTTACTCAAGTACTTGTCTCGATTCTCTCTTCGCTTTATGGTCCTTCTGATGCATCCGAGTCTGATCAAAATGCCCTTTTTTGCGGCCAAGGCTTTGATCCAGATTTTTTTCAAAGATTTGGACCTGCCCAAAGGATTCGCGGTTCGGTCGAGGTACCTCAGACGTACACAACGCACCTCAACAACCACCCACTATCACGATGGCGATTACTCTATCGCTACAGACATCCTTAATGGGTGTCTCATTCCTTCACCCCCTCCCCATTCGAATTCTTCGCCAGTGCATCCTGGTTCAGTGACGAGGGATCCAGGTCTCGAAGTCTCCATCAATATTTCCTCCACCAGATCCTCCCGTCGCAATTCCTTTGCCCGCACAGCTTCTGGTATGGCTCAGACATTTTTGCCTTTCGTCCAGGGCATTACAAGTGTAATTCCAGCTGCCGGTCCTCCGATGCAAGCTGCTATTAGTGGATTATTGTCAATCCTTCAAGCCATAGATGTGAGTGCTTATTTTATTCCCAAGATGTATCTTGACTCAAATGCTGTCGCAGAGACGTAGTCAGAACAAGGCGGACCTAGATCACCTGAGGACACGACTTCATCAACTAAGCTCACATCTGTGCAACGTCCCGACCGCCCAGGATCGCTTTGAACAATGCCAGAGGGATTCAATAATTAGGTATGTGCCTTCTTGATGTGTTATTGAAGTCACCCTGTATTGAATGTACCTAGGATTCTGCAAGAAACCTCTGCCCAGCTGACAACGTCGCAACAACGTCGTCTCGAATATGCATCTGTCACACAAGCTAGCGCCGGATGCTCCATTGAAATCGATCATTATCTGGTGAATTATTCAGTTTTTTTCTACTCTCTCAACATCATTTACATGCACTTACGATTCTGCTTTATTAGTGGTCATCTCGAATGTAAAGTCAACACAATATCCATGAAGTGTTGTCAATTCTGCGGAAACTGCAGGATCCCATGGGACCCACTGCAATGAAGTTAACTGCAGCTGTCACACTTCGTAACCCGAACACTAGGGGTGCTCTGGCCGCACTATCCTCTCAGAACGTGCGTGTTATCGTCTTTTGAGTCACTTGCCCGACGCTGATGGTGCTCTGGTCGCATTCCGTTTTCAGTTGGTGCATCCTCTCGTGTTATGCATCAATTACCCGACGCTGATGGTGCTCTGGCGATGTCCCGCTCTCAGCGAGTGCGTGTTCTCGTCTTATCTGTTACTTCCCTGACGCTAATGATGCTCTCTCCGCGTCCCACTCTCAGGCTGCGCGTGCGTAGCAGAATATGGGTGCAACCGCATTAAGGAGATCGGGGAAGACAGTATCACTTACTAATATGAAGAAGATTGAACGGAAGGTCAGAAAGTTTCTCAGGTGAACCCGGAGTGTTCAAATTCAAGGCTACCCTGAAATACGCGTCAAACACTTTACTGCACCTCATGTATTATTATCTTGTCCGAACCACTCGATTTTCCATCCCGAGAGAGAAGTAGATTCAGGCATCTATAAAGTATATTAGTTGAAATTTTAAAGCTGTATGTACTCCCAAACATTTCAGCATCAGAAACCGCATCTCAGGAGAGCCGTGCATACGCCTTGCTTGAATGACGAGTCACACCAGATTGATGTATGCACGTAGAATATTCAAAGTATATCGTATCGGTGCATGAATTTGGATACTTCACTTCAACATAGTCTATTCAAGGCTTCTCCAAGATGCGACGACCTGCCAACTTGAGTTTATGATCAGATCAATAGCATTCCGCTATGCGGAAAAGTTTAAAACGAACGGTATAAGTATGGATGTTATATATCTAAGTAGACTGAGCAGTGAATTATGCCAAAACACCGTAAATTTCTGCAGCTCCATCCATCTACTTTCGGAATGGCTGAGGGCCGACTTTCGTACTGGTGAATGTCAGGTACCGTTCGTTAACCGTTTCCCAATTCAACACGCTCCAGAACTCCTTCATATATTTCTCCTTGCCCCACACTCCATGATCGAGAAGCCAGCAATGCTCGTGAATGCTGACACAGAATAGAGGGTAGATCTTTTCGCCCAAATTACGTAGGCTCCTCGCGGAGGAATCAATCCCCCGATCTGCGCGCTCATCATCGTAGAAAGAACGCGCGCCATCTAGGTGACTACGCGGTGATGAGTGCAGTGTTCGTACGGGGGCAGAAGGGTGCAGTGGCCCAGGGCCTTGGGACATGCCTGACGTGGGTGATGTCGGTGTGCTGCCTAGCCCCGTGTTCAAGTGCGTTGGCTGTGGGCCGTCGCGGAACCTGCCCTCGTGAAGCACTTCATGACAACCCGCAGGGTTTTCCGTGCACGCACGCGAGCGAACAAGAAGTGTGCCGGCAGCGAAGGTGGGCTGAATGGCAAGGTTGCCCACGGCGTCCGTGATAAGCCAGATGTATCCCGACCCCGACATTCCTCTGGCGGCGGAAGAGAAGTTGTTGATGAAATGCGGCAAGCTACCGAATTGGGTGCGGATGGATGGAGCTATGAGAAGATTGTGAATCTTATCTTCGTAGTTTTCCTCTTTTTTCGGAGGTCGCTGTCAAGTAAATTAGTATGGTGAAATAACTAGATGGGGGAGTTGGACACACAAGGCAGTTGAGAAAGAACGAATTGTTGAGGGCGTGACTTGCATAGGAGAAGCCAAGGGCATCTTTTCCAGAGCTAGCAGTGTCGATCACGAGTTGTGTGACGCTCTTTCGCTGGTCAGCAGCATCTGTACACATGCGTAAGTTAAAAGCAAATTGCTCACAAAACCATACTCACCAGGAAACATCTCGTTCAACCGGTCGAGCAAACCTTGCTGATACTCCTCAGAAACCATTTTAAGCGTCCTTGGCGACATAAAGTTTGCAAGGCCCTCATCGACCTTGTAGTCGAGTTCTATCCGAGAATGTAGGTGTCTCCGTGCACCCCAAAATTGCCTTGGACATTTCGTGCTCTTCCATGCAGACAATGCACCGGTAAGAGAGGACGATGCTCGACACAGACCAGCACTGCTCATGACAAAGAATGGCGACTACAAATTAAGTAGAAGGTAGTTCGGCCTTGGACGAGACGTGCAAGTTAGTGAAGGACTTATTTTTTGAACGTGACGGGCGGGTCGGGGTCTTTTCAAGTTGCCGGCTTTCTTTGTTTGGACGAGACTGTTTCCTCCACGTCGTCGTCACTTTCAAGTAAAGCAGTTTGTTAGTCGTCACTCGTTCAACATGGCTGGCCCGAAGTCATCCTCAAAACCCTCGCCTGCGTCGTCAGAAACCTATGTGGCAGTTTCAACGTTGTGGACATCATATCTTGATCAGACCCCCGACCGCCTCAAGTTCATTGACGCATTCTTGGCGTTCACTGTGCTTAGCGGGGTGCTGCAGTTCGTGTATTGCGTACTTGTCACGAACTTTCCCTTCAATGCATTCCTTGCCGGGTGAGTTTACTGGTTAGCATGTCAGGCATGTATTGAGTGCCTTCACAGGTTTGCAAGCTCAGTAGGCCAGTTCGTTCTGACCGCATCCCTCCGCGCACAAGTCAATCCCGAAAACAGATCTGAATTCAAGGAAGTCTCGCCTGAAAGGTATGTGTATGCTTTCTTATGTCTGCCATAGATCCTCATTCTCGGCGTAGGGCATTTGCAGACTTTGCCCTTGGCTCCATTGTGCTGCACTTCTTCGTATTTAACTTCCTCGGATGAACGTGTATAATATTAAGTGGAACTGGTCGCGCAAGCACACAATTCTACTGCAACCTGCTCATTAAGCTTAAGGCTGTAAGCAAATTATGTGTCATCGGAATAAAATATTGCAAAGCTGTGAGTGCGGTCCGTTATCACGAATTGGCAGAAGGAACACAAATGGGAATTGGGAAACTTAATGCCTCCTCTCGAAAGAACTGGAGCGCTGTTATACGTGGTTGTCAGTGACGTGCAGTGTGAGATATGATGATAGAATGTCCATCACGTACTCCGAATACAACGACTGCAAAGTCGAATACGTATTCACCTAAAACCCATGAGCAAATGAAATAGTTGAAAGGGTGGGACAGTTTACAGACCGACTTCAAGATACGACCGCAGCAGTTCTAGTCGAGAACAACGCGTGAACAAGTGTTCTCAATTCAGGTCACGGAGTTTGAACTCACGGCGAATGTCCTTGTTTGGAACTTGAGATAGTGCAGGTCTGTAGTAGAATGAGGGTCAGCATCATCATCATGACCAGCAGCATGGTATACGTACGTGAGGCCTGTTGAGCGTCTTATGCCAGCGAGGAATGCACTGATAATGAATGCATCTAAGCCGAGGTGAAACAGCCACCCAAACATCTTTGCAGGTTGTAGGTTTAGGAATACAGCAAAGCAGACCGTCGCTGAGGGTAACTTCTGGAGTCGGTGACAGGGCAGACTTGTCACTGAGTGAAGCTTAAGTACAGATTCCCACGGAGGCTAGCTGATAAGATCCAAGTCCGACTCGAAGTCAGTCAAATGTAAGAGCTTGGCGCCTAATACTTAGAGGTGATGTCAGATGAACGTTTCAAGTTTCATATCAAGTATGTGGATTACGACGAACAAGTTGCAGAAAAACAAGTTTCAGGTGAGATATCATTTGCACGGGTGAAGGAGTTTACTAAATAGTATCTAGTTCCGTATCAGAAAAAAGGCCATGTCAGATCAACGGTAACCTGTGCTTCGAGCTATTACTCCATGTACTATGCACCTGTCTACTTGAAAACCACAGTTCCTGCACTTCGGAGGTGACGGCCTTTGCCGCTGCGATATGACCCTGACGCGGATGCCCCAGTTTCCGACTCCGCCAGGTGTAAAAATATTTGTTCATTCTTGATTTCAAAGCTCATGTCCAGTTTATCGTAGGTTTCGTCTTGCGCGCTGAAAAAACATAGACTGGCAAAATAAATTGTCATTGAGTTGTGTGAGAGTGAAGGATATGTGTGCGGTACATTGCAAGGAGGGTAGGCTTGACTAGCTCTCGATGATCGCCATCCTGACATGTGCACTTTCAGTAATACACTGCAGTGCGATAAAAAATATAATACTACAACTTTTGGGTGTCTTTCATATAGGCTATAGCTGGTTTTGCTCAAGCCACCGCTTTGGGCTGGCTTGAGCTCACAGCCCAGGCTTGAAATTTCAAATCTGGTAAGCCTGAGCTAGGTCCAGGGCAGTGCTTTCAGGCCAAGCCAGGCCCGATCATGATGCTAATCACTAATTGCAATGTGATGTAAATCAACGTTGCAACAACTGCTCGAAATCACCCTGCACTAGCAGCATTAATCATGGTCGTAAGTGAAATATATTTAATTTGCGTGTCTATAACGCGCTGGCCTCCCTGTCTCTGCCTCCCATCATTATGGCAGATTCTTCCGAACTGACAGAAGAAAATTCGCATCCTTCCAGCCTTCTTACATCTAACATACTCTCGGGTCACCAGAGCTTTGACTCGATAATATCTGATGCAAAGTCCACTGCTGATACTACAGCCGATTTCTACTACCACGGTCTGACGACTCGCAGATATGCCCTTGTCGGAGTGGCATGTTCAATTATCTTTGGCTGCTTATTCATCATTGCAGGTGTTATCACTTTCGCCAATCACGGCGCCCTAGGAGTAACCAGGGTGTTCAACCTGGTCAATGTTGATAAAGGTGCATTGCAGGGGATATTGACCCTGATACTTGACTTAATCGTCATGTTATGTACCGAGTCCACAGGCTTCGTACATGGCGTCTCATTGCGCGCTGCACTAGCCTCAGAGTCTCGGCTTCGTTTCAACACCAATCTGCGCCTTCTCACCGCAGCTCGTGGATGGTATAACCCAAACGGAGCCCTGCTTAACGGCATCTCGGCTGTCCTCCTCATCACATCCTACAGCTCCGCCTCAGTCGTCGTGTGTCTGGACCAAAATAACTCGGAGACATTCCAAACAGTCGATGAGGGTATTGCCATCGCAGGGATACCTCTCCTCATTTTGGGTGTCGCACTCCTCCTCCAGGTGATTATCGCATTGTCAGGGATGTGGGCGGTCAAGATTTTGACGTGGAGCTCCTCACCCTTCGACTTGACCGCCGCACTAGTCCACCACGCACAATTGACCCCTACTACTTTCCGGTGCATGCGTCCTGTGTCTGACATAGACACGTATGGAGGCCCAGCGAAGCCACCAGAGACACAGCCCTCCGCGTGGCATGCTCACTCTAGCATCCGGAAAGTTGTCATTTTTCTTTGGGTCATCGTTGCAGCGTGCGCTGGATGGGCCGTACTCGTCATGTATGTCTGGGACCGCTTCCCTCCCAGCTCTCTATTTGCATTCAGCACCTATCCACTGACCCTACAAACGTGGTCGTTCTTCCGGAGCGCGCAGTCCAATGCCATCGTGTATTTGATGCCAGGTTCCTATCTTGAGGTGGGGATTCTACTCTATATCAACATCGTATTTCTCCAGGGACCGTTGACGCTTGGGCTACATTGCTCGGAGCTCATCGCGAATGTCATCCGAGATGAAAGACAGTGGAGATGCGCTACCAGAAGCAAAGGACTCAGAGTGGCAATGAACCCACTGGAGTCGATTTTTAATCACCCGATCTGTCTCATACTTTTCATCGCGAAGCCCTTCCTGCGTGAGTCATTCACCCCTAGTATTTTTTGTTAGTGTCATTGAACACTATCCTCGACAATCACAGACTGGATGTTTGGGCTTTCATTCGGCATATATATCTCCGCCGCTCACGAGACCCTAGACTTCATTCCGATAGCCATGTACACTGCCCAAGTACGCAATCCCTGCCCATTTAAAATCGTTACAACATTCTCACACATATTTGCAGATCTGGAACTTATGCATTGCACTTTTTATATTTGCCTGTTTCTTTACTTTCGTCGCACTACGCCGACCGTCCGGTCCCCAGCCGGCTGCATACGGCCACCTCCAGACGCTCGCCGACCTTGTGGACGAGTGGTCGCCTGTGATGTGGTGGGGACACAAGGAGGATGGAATTCCGTACTGTCATGCTGGTAGGGTACTTGTATACTCACGATGATGATGCATTGACACTTTTGAAAAGGGACAAGCGATCACCCACTGCCGGATGTGAAGATGAACTGCATCTATGCTGGTTCTGGTGCTGAGCCTCTGGTGCCCCTCTCGTGAGAGGCACTTTCTTTGCTTTCCAAGGGAATTTTTTGTGGTGATCGATAGGAGCGGGGTGACGTTTTGACTGGAACGTACCAAAAACGGACAGATAGAATATCTCAGTCTCTATATCAGAACTGAGATGCGAATACGTCTCTACTCGAGACTTTATACTAGAAATTTCAGTATCATACGTATGTGACTTTTAATGTTGGTTTTGCCGAGTGTTGGCCGAGTGGACTGTAAATTCGGCAAGTGCGACTGTCCGTGACTATCTGTGACATTTATGTGATTCACGAAAGTCACCATAATAGACTGCCAAACTTTGACCAAACTCTAACATTGTCCTTTCCAGTCATTGACAGCTTCACTGACCGATGACATGCACCAGGATGCCCAGACGGTATTGGAAAACATCAACGGAAAGCTATTGCGAGGTCGAAAGCTGGCAGTTACTTTTGCTTATCAAGCTCCGCTCGAACCAGGTGGACAGGGGCCATCACTGAAAACCAAGATCTATGATAAACCCTTATATACACATTATAATCCCAACAATGTCTATAATCGTATAAAATATGGCAGTGCAGAAGCCATAGTCTTGTATAGAAATATATTGTTATCCCTTGCGACCAATATTTATCATGATTACCTGTGCCCGGCATTAGTTGAATGAATTTGGCTGTGTAAAAACTCAAACAGATTGATAAACACGCTAAATATTGCTGAAAACAAGATATATATGTGTAGAACGCTATCCCCTATGACCAATAATTATCAAAATGGTTTTCATTTGGCATTGGCTGCATGAATCATGTTGTGACAGTACTAAAACTGTACTGAAGTGATGACGCATGTTCGAAAAAGTGTCTCTCATTTAGCATTTCTAGCACAGCGGCTCTCCTGTCCAATAAGTAAAAGAGATAGAAATTCTTGCCATCTGTACCATCATATGGACAATTGCTTCATTAGCATCATGGTATTGCGGGTTTTATACTTGATTGGCCAGGAAGTCACATTGGGTTGTATAGGATTATACAGAGACACTCGGTACAATACATGTAGTTTATCAATGCCTCGCCAATTCTCTACCCTAATCTCATCATCAACACCGTCTGCAGGAACAATAACATGGGTTGAACCACAACAGATATCGTTAGTGCCTTGAAGTCCAATGAAAGCAAGGTGTCGTGGCAACTTGACACTATTGTTTCCTTATGCAGGGATTTGCACTGCTCAAGTGGTTGACTGAGTTTGGCGGTGCCGGTGTACAATCAAGCTCGGCGGTGCCAGTATAGGATCGAGTTTGGCGGTATATAATCGAACTCGTGGTACCATAGGATGTAACAGGATCGAGTTCAGCCATAGAATTGAGTTTTTGGCCATGGAATCGCAGGGATCAAATCCAGATATGAGATCGAGTTCAGCCATATCATCGAAGACCAGTCATCCTTAGACAGAAACATAGACCACGACATGACATATCCTGTTGCCAGACCCTGTAGTACAGTGCGACTTTCTGGATGGCATCCTGTCGAGAAACTTGCAGGAAGTCGCGTTAATGAGTGATTGAAGGCAGAGTAGGTGATAGTGGGGATTGAAAATAAAGTCTGAGTTGGATCCTTACTTATCAATGACCGGAAGATATGCTCGGCCGGTGGTGACTGAGGTCTTGACCCTTCCCAAGGGAGTTGTACCTCGTTCGTTTTGAGATCCGGTGGTCAAACTATTTCAGAATAGGAAAAGAGAAGGAGCAGGGTCGGAGCCGGGTAAGGTTGCGAGCTTCAGTTGCAGACAGCTAAAACCAACAGAGATCCGACTCGGATATCAACGGCAGTTTCGAGCATCGGTCGAGGATGAATGGCTAATGTTGACTATGAAGAAAGGCCAAAATGCAGAATGGGTTTCAAGTAGGATTAAGGGATCATTCAGACCACCATTCACTACTGCCCGATCCCAACAACCACCAGTGCTTAGCGCACATGCCCAGCGCATGTCAGCAAATGCTGACATGGCTTGAACATATGCGAACCACACCGGAAGGCGCCAGAATGAGAGGAATGGAGGAGGGCGAGAAGGAGATGAGGGAGAGGTAAGTTTATGTCTTGGGTGCCTATGGAAATGAGGTAGTTAGCAGCATAAAAATGCACAATACATATCACACGCACCTCTGCAGCTTAGAGAAAGGTACCCACAATCCCTCGGCCACGTTCAACACCATCAATCTCCAGTAAAATGTCACAGCTCATTCCAAGCACCACATCCCTTCGAGCTTTTGACAGACCGGCAGTGCCTGTTCGAGAAATCGGCTCAATGTCAAGTAAGACATGTTAGGACCTCATAAGCGAAGAAGGATGGCACTGACCATGTCTTGAGATGAATTGTTGAATCAGAAAATACGACAATGACGAGCAAATGTAGCGAAGCCATGGAGGACGAGTGCGACTCACAGTGGTGTGTGTGAGTTTTGTGTGTCTAGAATTTTTGAATAGATCCAGCGCCATATACGTTGAGCATATGCCTACAGCATCGACGTCTTCCTATCATTCTGCACTGCTATATAGTATTAAGCAATTATTACACATGAATGCAAAAACTATACCACCGGCTTAGAATTCGACATACTGTTAGAATAATGTGTTGAACCCGACAAACAAGCTCATGGATCAGGAAAATGATGCTTGATAAGTAGGCCAATACATGGGTATATAAGGACAACACAGATTTCGCCAACCTTATAAGGTAAATATTGTCATACCGGGTTATCCAGTTTTCAGTGATGCGGTGATGCGCGGCCGACTATCCTGAATATGATGAAAAAGTGGAATTCATACTCGGTCAAAAGGGTGAGTTTTATGTTTAGAAGGGTACCTATCAACTTACCTTTGAATTCTCAGTACCGATATTAACACAATTACAATGAAGGCAAAGTTACGCCAGATGGAATCAATTCATTTAATTCATTACCACCAAAACCACTGACATTGGTTGCGTCATTAAGTTCGATCTCAAGGCAGTGTCGTGGTTTGGAGGTTCTCTCTTTTCAAAAATCCCGCAGGCCCAATTGGTCGGCATTCTACCACCCATGCGGAACCTCCTACCCACCTAGGGCTTTCTGCGGATGCCGATACCACACCTTCAGCATCACTGTCCATACTCAACACTCAACCACAAGTCGTTAAGCCATCCATGTTTTGTAAATGCATATTACCTGATGTGAAGATCATCAAAGAACGTAGCAAACCAAGGTAATGCTCGGTATCACACCTCCATTATACTGACAACGATCTTCGCCAGACCTGTACGATTAACACCTGCCAGAGATCGTTCCGATGGTATAAAGCCTTCTTCGCCAGATTCGTTATACGTCTTAGCGCACTTCCAAGTTGTCCTGATGTAGTCCCATATGAAATATACTATCAGCATGATCTGAGAGTTCTCATGGGTCACTTTATACCATCAGGCAATTGACCTGAGAATGACATATGGTACGTATCAGGTAGACTTTAAAAGCATAAGACACGTTTCCTGATGCCAGATGACGAGCCTCGTGCCGTTAGTCAACCTGTAAGGGTGAGGGAATGACAGTGTATGTTTTTTGACCTTAAGCTTGATTGATTATTCACAAGTGGCTCCCATTCTGAGCCAGGTACGACTGTGCGACTCTGGTCAATCTGATAGAAGGATGGTTGCTCAAGCGGGAAGCGAGAACTATGATGTGCATCATGATAACACCAGGGCTAACAACCATCATGATGACGACAGGCACTATGAGGGTCCAGGAGGTCTCTAGGCTAGTATCGCAGCTCAGACAGCTGAGGATGATGAAACACAATTAACGTTCATATGCGGTACGAACATCACACACCATCGAGACATGCAACGTCGGACAAGACACCCCTTCAACTAGCCCTCCCATTAAACAAATCAAGAAAAATAAGAAATAAAGGAAACAATCTGCGCCCAAGATATGTTCCTACGACAGAACTGTATCCAATAAAAGGTTCATGAGACCAAGGAAGAAGAACAATGAGGTACATGCCACGATAAGACCACCGATACAGGCAACCCTACGTTGTGCAGCTTGGGCTGCAGTTTCGATGATCACATTGTATGCAGCCTCTCCCCTACTGACCACGCTAGAATTGCAGAAGCATGTATTGTAGAAGCTGGAATACATGAAAGTGCACGCCAACACCAGCCATATGGAGTTTGCAACTGCTAATGCTTTGCCTGCCCATCGCAGCCAGTGCGACAGCACCAAAGCAACGCGAGCAGACAGTACCCTTCGATGGGAATAACCTGCGGAGTAGTGCGCGAGGATACTAGACATCAGGAGCAGCATCCAAATTAAGGTCGATGTGACTCCAAAAAGGAGGTAACTCAGAGATCAACACCCCATGCACTGCCTGAAGTGAGCCAACTCAACCACTTATCACGTATGTCGGGAAAACGCACTGTAGTAGGGGTGAACCATGCCATCATGAACGCTGCCCCGACCATTCCCCACTGTAATACAAGCGAAGCACACGAAGCGATGGCCATTCTTGTGAACACACCGGGTGCCCAATGGCTGCGATGTACTACACCATGGGGCTTGGTGCAGCATGCGATGATATCCGTGGATGACCCACATCGATTGCTGGGGTAGATGGTATCAGAGGTGTCGGACTCAACCCAATCACTCCCCAAAGCAACAGGAATGTGGTTTTGGGCCTTCTCTGATGCCATCTCGAACATCAGGAAGACAGTGTCAGCTGTTGATGCCCATCACAACGAACATGAGTAATTAAACACTGGAGGGGTAAGGAGCTCATCTGGAGACATCACATCCTTCTCCCGAGCAGTTATTGTTAAAGCTCTTTGGGCTGATGCACTTGGTGTTCCCATATGAGCACCTGCTGGCCCTATGTGTGCATGCTGGTCTGCATGGCTATAAGCTGCTTGTAAGCGACGAAAATCACATTTGGGGGAGAGTTGCAACCATCCAATGACTATTGGGATCAACCACAGCCACAGTGAACCAGTGGTGTCGCCGTCGGAATGAGAACTTGTATAGATGTCCGCTGGTGAGTTGATTACATTCATGATATAGGCGACAATGACCCAGGCAACGGAGGTTGCAGACACAATTGACCATGTGTGTGTGTGTGTGTGTAGTCCACAAATTCAGAGAACCATTTCCACTAGCAGCCATTTTCAGGCAGTACGATAAGAGAGGGGAAACGATCTGGATGGAGTCTTAGTGGAACTTGCTGAAGGCCGCTCAAGATAGAGACTGTGAAATCTGAATTGGGATAGTCCACCGATTGATTAAATCGGCGGTTGATCCAGCGAGAATTGAGGAGGGTGATGAATAAAGAGTAACCAGTGAGCACTGGTGACCCGACGGTTAACACAGCAGACATGAGATTGTCGAGCCTGTACTGTGCCCCAAAGGGAAGCTGCGAGATCAGTGCAAGGTTTGGCAGCAACCATGTACTGAAATCTTGCGAAAATACGGGCCACTGAAAAGGTTCCCGTTCGGTCCCACAGACTGAGGTGCACAGCGAGTAGCTTATCGCTGTCGCATCAGAAACATTAGATACGGGATTTCCATTGCCATCGAGTAAACCAGCTAAATTTTGTGTAGCGTTCGCATTCGTCACGATGTCAATTAGACATTGAGTGAAGTTGAGTCCAGCTACCCTTTGGACAGCGTGCATCAGTAATAGGAGACCTAGCAAGGGGGGTGAATGAGAAATCAGACCACCAATAGTTCACTCATTGCACTTACATGCTTGAGTACCTGTCTGCAACTCGAAGCGCATCCAGTTCAGGTATGGAAGGTATGTGCTGTCAATGTAGGATTTTCTTGACGAAATTAATATCATTATATGTTTGAATGAAAATGCTCACCAGATAGTTTTTAGAAAGGTCACTGTTGTTTGACAGTGGGCCACCCGGGGTGCTTTATGAGTGATAAAGTCTCTGGATTCGGTGGCTTCCAAGTATGCTGCTGAATCTGCACAAATATTATTGTGCCCCCCCGAAATAAAAAGTGTGCCCCCCGAAATCGAATTTGTGTGACACCCCGAAAAAGGAAATTGTGTCGCCCCGAAAACTATTGTGTGTCGCCCCGAAAACTGCAACATGTGTTGCCCCAAAATTATATCATGTCGCCCCGAAAACAAAAGACTCATGCCAAAAAAAAAAGTATGAAAAATTCAGAAAAGTACTTTATTGAAGGCAAACTTGAGTGACAATTGTAGACTAGTATGTATACTACTACTGGATGACTACCTGAATACGATCCATAATTTCACTCTTCTTCCTCTACAAGTCGAGTAACCATTGCCCTGACATCACCTTCAATTGCAATTGCCTCATTGAAGGCTTGCTTGATGTGCCTCGAAAAATTGATGGCAGTTCCTTGTCTGCAGACACCATCTCGAGCAAGGGTTGTACCATGCTGGAAACAGGGTTGCATACTCTGTGGCACCAGTTGTCAGCAGAATTAAAGTGTGGAGCTGCAAACGAGAGACAAAAATACCATGACTGTGTCAGTGGCACATTTCACCACTACCTTGAGGGAGACATCCACATAATTTCCACCAGAACTACGGCCACCATGAAGCTGGCATTGCTCTGGATCCATGATAGCATGAAGAGTAACCCAGTTCATCGCATAAGGGGCATAGAGTTGGTCTGTGTGAATGGGGCTAGATGCGACATCAAAAAGTGGCATTACTAATTAGATGCAATCCACTTACGACTCATAATTCTGTGACATATATGCCTCAGAGGGAGCCCGCTCAGCTGTCAAAAAGCAGAGAGGACCACCAGGTAAGTCTAGGGTATACCCAAAGTCTAGGTATCATATGTAAGTTACCAGTAATGAAGATTATACATATGTGAGACACTCACCTAAGTCATTGCCTTTGACTGTCATGGCAGGCAGGCCTGCCTCACTGATTGCCTCGATACATGATGTACTGACCTCAGCAGGGAGACTAGCTATGAGCAAGTTCCAGCTCAAAGCCAGAATTCCTAAAGCACGGGAGTCCTTCTGCTGCCTCGTAGTCATGGACAGCTTCTTCTTATTGGTAAGGTTGTTCACCAGACCAAAGACACGTGCATGATGAGGACCAGCATTCCAGCCGAACTGAACCAGCTCGCCCCCATGAGTAGGCTATCCAGCCCATCAGAAATATATCAAACTGAAAGGAGGAAAAACTCACCCTGGTCCCCTTGTGGTCATTGACAGCCTCGTCGATGATACTATTGACATAAGTCAACAGGTCAGGATGCTGGCCACACTTGCCGCGGAGTACAGCGAGTGTAACAGATCCTATACACCCAATTAACCACATGCAGGAGACAGAAAGACTATTCATACCCTTGGAATCGACAAAAATGATGCTTTCATCTGGTTCGATCACATACCACGAATCATCCACAGGAACAGAAAGGGCAGTATCCCCACTACCAACCAGATCCTCATTGCCACGGTCCACTAAAAGTGTACCCCGTTTATAGCTGGTTTTAGCAGAACGGTCACAAGTGACCATCCTGACTGTACCAGTGTCTGCAAGGGACTTGGCCGATAGTGGGGTGGCATAAAGGCCCAGGACCCTTGCCTATGAAGTACAGTTTTAGACTAAGCCAGTGATAAGCAGGAAGAAAACTCACAATAGTCCTTTTCTCAGAGCGAGCTGCATTCTTCCTCCTGCGGCACTGGAGGAAATATACCTCTAAAGCTTGGTGGAGAGATCCTGGCACCAATCCAGCATTCTTGGTGGTTAGGGACTTCGGATGGCTGACCTGCACACATAAATAGTTAGATCTAACATAGATACTGCATTAGAAACATGCTCACAGAATTTGCAAGGCCTGGTTTATCTCCAAAAGCAAGAAGATCCTCCCCAACATCTGCTCCTATCTGAAGTGCATGCATAACAGTTGAATTTCCAGCAAGATGCTCGAAGTCTATGCACCACCAATATATTAGTCTAGACAGTGGTGGTAATATATTACTTACATTGCCTCAGATGAGTCTGATCTGTGGGTTGTGGGGCCATGGTGGTGGTTGGAAAATGCAGTGGGCAGCAGTGGTGAAAATTTTGATTATGGCATTTTTGGAGTTTTGGTGCTTTTGGGATAGCATATACCTGTTACCACCTTCATTATTATGAGCTGGATAGTGCAGTGGTAACCTGGTCCCTGTTGCGATACTGTGCGGGATTTTGGCCAGGAAGTTGCTCTGCTGTTTAATTCTTGCCAATGTCATGATTTAATTCTGTTGTTGGTTATAGTGGTAACTTGGTCACTGTTGGCTAGGAAGCTGCTCTGCAGTTCAACTCCTGCTGGTGTTGAAATTTCATTATGTTGTTGTGATAATATTCAGCTCTGCCAGTTCAACTCCCTCATGTTGCCAGATTTCTTGTTTTTTTTTTTTTTGGAGGGGCATTTTCTGCTGACTTTTTTGACATAACATTTCACACTTAGCCTCTCATTACACCCATAGCAGATATATTAGAGAGAGCTGAAATACAAAGTGACTGCTCATATAACCCCCTCAATAATCCTCTCCTCAATCTCAAGTTCATCTAACTCTATCATCACATCAACCATAGCTTGCCTGCATGCAGCATTCATGCCATTAGGCAGTGGAGCCTCAAGGATGAGTTGGAGAGTCTGTGTCAGTGGAAGTGGGTTTGTTGGATGGAGAATTGCACGGGCCACTTTCTTCCACCAGAATCCAGACCATGCCTCCTTACACTGGCTATGCGAGCGAGCTGAGCAGCTGAAGGATGCTGAAACAAGAAGTGAGGGTGGATAAGCAGCTAATGCCCTGCGTTCGCGCTCCATCACCTCTTTTGCCCGGGCGATAATTGTATACACTTTAAACCCCATCTGTGTAGCCTCATTATCTGTAGTATTCGTGAGTGATGATGTCATGATCTCTCGAATTGCTGGGGCGATCCACTGGGGTATGGAATATAATCGTGCAAGCTCTAGTCATCAGGTAGGGTGCAGAGTGAGGTTTTCAAGTCCATTGATAGTGAACTTGATGCTGTTGCTTATCATCCATAGGTGCGAAATCTTGAGGATAGCGACTAGGAATTGCTCCTCAGGTGGAGGAGGGACTGAACTGCTAGAAGATATATGTAGTTTAATCATCGCCTATGTGATATTGTACTAGTAGATACACATACATGTGGTACACCCAGTTGAGAAAATGTGTGAATTCCTGCTCAGAGATCTGCTGCAGGACGATCAGAAGTTGCTCTGTACCATCGGTATCATAACCTGATGAGATAGCCAAAATTCCTTCCAAAGCTGGAGAGTGGCAAACAAGTACACCACGATGTACACAAAATGAGGTATTGCCAGCCTATAGTAGAGGAAATTCAAGCAAGGCTTGGCAGACGTTCATAGTAGGACTTACACGAAAGACAATATTTCCATCTTCAAACCAAAACTCACTATGCCTTTGGAGAGCCAACCTGTGATTCGCATTCGTAGTGTGAAAGCTTTGGATAGTAGTATATGATGGCCTTGTATAGAGCTCAAATGAAGTTCAAGTCGTGTTCATACCTGACACTCGCTGTGGCTCGCATATTGAATCAACAATGATAAACACCTGTGTGTTTACATAACAAATATCAGTCAAAGCACTGTCGATCTACTGACTCGAGCTACAATGGATCTGCCACCATTACCACAGCCTACTGATGGCTCAGGTGTCTGGCCAGATCATCTGCACCAAGCCCATGATACTCTATTCCATATCTACCGTCATGCATCTCAGGCACTCCAGACTTGCAGTGAACTGCATCGCATATGTTTTCATGCTGAGGCCATCAGCAACAATGCCATACCACTATTACGAGCACTGGAGAACTCTTCTGCAGTAGTGGGTGTCCCTATGTCTTGGGTCCTTCAGGTTACAGCAAAATTTGGGATGCTACTGAGGCAGCTACAGCAGGCTGAAACAACAGCACGAGGAGGGTGAGCCTATCAGATTCACCACAGTAGTTCTAATATCTAGACTATTGCTAGTGAAACATCAAATATTTCAGTCCCACAGCCGATCACTGTCGCACACACTGGCAAACCAGGGAGACCTCGTAAGGTGCCAAATGTCCAGTTGTTGCATGAATTTGCCTCTCCTGGTCGTCATCTACAACAAACCAAGCTAGCACGGGTCATGGGCATCCATTGTAATACCTTGCGCTCCTACTTGAAGCAGAACAATGTTAGCTATAAGTATAGCCTGATCTCAGATGCAGACCTGGATCAAGCTGTTCGAGAATTTCGTCAGATGAAGCCAAATTCTGGGGTTCACTATCTTACTGGCCATTTGCGACAGTTGGGCTTGCGGATACAGCAACAACGGGTTATTTCCTCTATCCACCGTGTCAATCCCCTAGAAACTGTCCTCCGCCAATGCACTATAATTCAACGGCAGCAGTACAGGGTTTCACGACCAAATGCTCTGTGGCACATGGATGGGCACCATAAGCTAATTCATTGGGGCATCGTAATTCATGGTATCATTGATGGATATTGCCGCACAGTAGGCTATTATTCTCCACTAGCTGCCTACATCTGATCTTCATTGACTTTCAGATAGTCGCCATTCATCCCAGCACAAGCAATAGTGCATCCACAGTGCTTAGGGTGTTTTTGAATGCTGTCGCTATCTATGGTACACCTTCAAGAATACGAGGAGATAGAGGTGGGGAAAACAAAAAGGTCTCGGTTTATATGATCACGACTAGAGGGCCCAACCGTGTGAGCTTTATGTGGGGATCATAAGTAAACACAATTTCATTGCTTACATTGGTTGAGTTAAAATCTGCCCCTCATTAGATCGACTCACAACAGCAGGATTGAATGGTCCTGGGTTGAAGTCGGCACCCAATTTGCTCGCATGTGGCGTGCATTTTTCTATCGACTTGAGAGGCTTCATGACCTAGATGTGTCGAATGCTCAGCATCTTTGGCTATTACACGAGCTTTTCCTCAAGGAGATTGAGTCTGACTGTTGCTCATTTCAAGCTGAATGGAATGCACACCCTATCTCAGGAGAGGGACATGATCAGAGCCCAAATGTATGTTGTCCAATATCTTAAACATGATCAGCTTAATAGAAAAGTTTTTCTTTTGTGGTCATTAGGATATGAGGCTTATGGGCCAGCTCGAACATGGGCTATATGCCGATGATTGTGAAGGAATCCATCCTGACATCATCAGACAGTACTATGGAACTGCAGGCAAGCCTATGCATCGTGCACCCCATCAGACTGGAGCAGGTCATACCTCAGATGAGGTATATTCGGCTTCTGGATCTACGGATGGAGAATCAGATGATGAAGAATCAGAGGAGGAATGGGAAGACATCAATGATTTCGAGGACCCAGGTGGCGAAACAGAAGATCTACAAGAGCTTCCCCAGCTCATTGCTGCTGATCATGATGCTCATTTCCACCATAAGCCTGTTCATGTTCCAAAGCATGCCAGTCCATTCAACCCTGCTACTCTTCACAACACCTTTCATCAAGCTTTTACTCAAGTATGAGAGGCAGGGCACATCCCAGAAGGATTTGGTGTTCTTCCACATGAATGGGATGGTGATGAGTATCCCTCACATGAAATAATCCGATCAGGACGACAGGGGACCAAGGAATTACGAATCCCCTTGCCTGATTTTATTTGGCGACCTAGGGCAATAAAATGGTGTCAAGCACTCGATGTCATGTTCAGGCTTTTGGAGCTTGCCAATACCGATGTTGGATCTAGTAGTGACACAGATAGTAATACCGATAGTGTTGGGCATCACAATGGCTCTGATAGCTAACTACGATTATAGTACCTAGACTCTCAATATACAAGCAAGCAGACTGGCTTAAAGTCGACAATATTAAGTTTGAAGTGTCCATGCAATTATACAGCATGTACAGCCACAGATCATGTGATGAATAATGTGGTTGAATTCGACTACGACTGAGCAGTTTCATACTACAACAATCTACAGCCCACTTAAAAATTACTACTGTCTCTTCTGTCACCAATCACTCCTTTATCTTTCTGCTACCTTCTTAATTTTTCATATGGCTCCCAAGCGCAAACGACAGGCCAGCAGCCAAATGGACGATGCTAGAAAGTCAACCTCGACACTAGCAGTTAATTCCATCTTGCAGGAATTGCTCGGTAATTCAGCTGGATCATCAACTGCCTATAAGAAGGCCAATAGCGAGGCCAATCAAGGCTTAAAGTCTGCTTCTCAATCTCACAGCAGGCCAAAGGCTCAGATGGTCTCTAAAGTAAGTGTCAGCATGTTTTAAAATGAGTTGTTGCTCAGGCAAGTGACTGTTGGAATGTTTGTTTATTAGTCAAAGCCAGCTCGCCTTCCTAACTTCCACTTTAAAGCTGGAGAAATAATCTTTATTTCCTGTGGAACAAGACAGGTGAGCTGTCAGTATCATAACTGTGATTGGCTGGGATTGCTGACTGCTTTTTAGTCTAAGAAGACCTCACATTTGTACATCCCACTTCTGACACCTGTTCTTCGCAATCCCCAAGCACCAACTTTGGTGGAGGTCCAGACTCTTGAGGTCATGAGACTGGCGATCACAGATTATGTCGATGGTATCATCATCAGCAAGAACTGGTCTTTTGAGCTCTTTGACCTAGAGCTTCGCAAATTTTTCCCTCGGCTCTTCCTTTATCTTGATGCCTTGCCAAAGTTGATGAATCCAGATTACAAGGAGGACCAAGACGAGATCTTTCAGTATCTGCCCCAATACTATCTTTGTGTCAAAGAGAAGTGCAGGATCGTAATTCCTCCTGGTATCCAATTCCCTGATGGGTCATCGGTGGCACGAAATGCAAGGACGAATTCGAGAGGTGGATTTCGTGAAAATGTGGTTATTCTAGGTCAGTCCTCAGTTTGTTCGCTTCAAACAGACTATGCCAATTCCTGCCTTCTTAGTCACTTGTCAAAGCATCCCACTGTCAGTGTTGCAAGGGTAGGCGAAATCAAAAGGGAAGGAGAAGGCCACTCTTTCATCTAGCTCAGCATACCATGGTCGTACCAAGTCTGAGAGTATATCCAGTGACTCAGAAGACAGCTCCACCTCATCTGAGTTGAGCTTATCAGAGCCCCCTCGCAAGACCAAATCTCATCGAGGTATGGTTTATTGTTTTTTTCTGTTGATTGCGAGTGAGGCTCATATTAAACTTTTGTGATCAGTATCAACAGAAACTGATGACGAGATTATGCCTGCATCGGACTCTGAAACCATATCCGAGTCGGCCACTATAGTTGACTTGACTGCAAGTGATGATGAATACACTGGTGACTTTTTTGGTTCTTTCAGTTTAGATAATCATGATGTTGTTGCCGAGCCAGAGGCACCTGTGGAGGCTGACCTCACGCCTTTGGAGCCTGTCTCGTCATCTCCACTGCAGGCCTCTGTATCTTTTGTTATTGATCCCAGTCTTGATAACCCCCCAACCTTGCAGGCCTCTGGGTCTTTTGTTCTCGATACCAGCATTGACAACCCATGAGAAGGGAATCATCTTTTCAATTTCTAGATTTGTTTTTGGCACCTATATCGTTCAACTTGAAATATACCCATCACCGATTGACAGCACTGATTATAATCCTTTTACACCGACTTTATTATATCTGTTTATATTCTGGTACTCGTACATAGTAACTATCTCTTATTACAATGCTTTAATTGACTTGTTTCATGTAAGCCTGGGTGGAAATGAGCATGACAATGATAAAATACACTCTGTCAAATATTGGTATCACAATTTTAATTTTGGGGTGACATGATATAATTTTGGGGCGACACATGTTGCAGTTTTCGGGGCGACACAATTTCCTTTTTCGGGGTGTCACACAAATTCAATTTCAGGGGGGGGGGAGGGGGCACACTTTTTATTTCGGGGGGGCACAATAATATTTGTGCAGATTCAGCAGCATATAGTATCGCATCGCGACACTACAGCTTGTTGTGTCATGGGCTATTATGAAGTTTGATCTGTGGTGATGAACTTTTCCTGTGTCTGCCATTGCCAGGAGTCGGCGCTGGGAAGTGGATAATTGATGCAGGGGTAAAGATATTGCACAATATTTGAACTTATGTACGGTGTTAGCTTGGCATTGCGATCTCCTCGGCTTCATGTGTGTGGATCACGTAATCACATAAGTTGGTGACATCCCCAAGTCGACAAAACTCAACCAGAAAGTCGCGAATTGAGAGTATCAGCTACAGGTTGGCATGTACATTGTACAGTATGGCATCATGAAGCTCTACATAAAACGCACATCGCGAGACATCTCAATATCAACGATCAGGGGCAGCAGAGGCAATCCAGTGTCATCGTTGTCATCCAAACCTGCCGTCACAGATGAGCTCAGTTCCATCTGAAAACCCCCCCATTTCTCAAAGTCCAGGGCGAAATAACTGTCAGGCAGAGTGCGTTTATAATCGCGTGAGCACTGGTCAAGTTTCTCGCGATGCTCCTTGACAGTTTGCCACTCGTCATGCCATGCTCTGCATCCTCCCCATTCGATGGGCATGCCTTCTCCATTACCACGAGAAAAATCCAGGCCAAATGCAGTAATCTTGACAAAGGGATGTTAGAAAGTAATGAATCGGTCCCGCAATGGTAACGTGTCTGTGAAGGTGTGATTACCAAACTTCCGGAGGAGGAGATCGACGTCGGTTTTGCTGATTGTCCAGGGAGAAGAAACAGGTTGGACCTAGATAGATCAAATCAGCTTGGCTGGTTTAAGTACGAGAAGGAATATGAAGTTCCTCGCCCGGGTAGCACACAAATTGCATCAGCCAAGGAAATATGTAGCAGTAGGAGTCAGAGAGCGGCCAAGTGGGACTCGGCATCAAACTGCCCTCAGTAGGTGAGGAGGAGTTGGGAACAACATTCATGTCAGTGGAAGAGAGGACTCCTTGTCCAATACAGATGACTACAATACTCTGGAGCTTGCTTCGTTCGTCTATTCCAACTCAGAGAACAACTGCAGGGCGGACCGCTGTGTCCCATTTTTCAGGGGAGAGACTGGGATCCCGCCAGAACAATGGATCACCCGCTCGAGTGCTGTAGCCCTCAATAGTTGTGCGAACATCAATTTGGCAGCATACAATCTGTCCAGGACAGAGGGGAATTGTATCCACGCATATAAGGGGACCTGGCAGAGAGTCTATAGAGGAGTGCTCAGTCGAAGACAGATGTCCAGTGAAAATCAGCAGACCTGACAAAGCCTCAGCCGGAATATTCCAGTTGATTTTAGCAGGGTCCAGCAAGCCAGCTAGTGCACGAGTTTCTTGTATCTGCAAATGCAGCAGCTCAGTAGTCTGGTAGCTGATCAAACTTCAAGCTGCATGCATAGTTGATCATTTGACCAATGCAAGGTAAGCCATCTGGGGACATGTCAGCACCGCTAAATTGCTGCTTTTTGATTCTAACTTGAACTTCCTGATTCTTGCTTGTTCCATGTCGAGTGTTGTATGTCCATGGAAGGTCTCCTCGAGCAAGACTGATGAGCGTATAGCCAAGAGATTCTATATCGTCACACGGAGCTGATCCTGCATTCCTGTCAGGTAAGAGGGAAGCATATGATACTGGGCCAACTTACGAATGTGATGATGGATGTTCAAGCTGACTGTACCCCAGCGTGCCAATGGCATGCGATGCCAGGGGTTCATCCGTAGAGAGGTTGGGTTGGGCCTCACGTGCAATAGCCCGAGTGAGCCCATAGTCGACCAGATACAAGCGCTTGGGATCGGTGGGATGGAGGATGATGTTCCCAGGTTTGACATTGCAGTGAACAAGTTTGTTTGTGTGTATGTGTTCGAGAGCCGAGATCTACCGAAGGTCAGTATGAGCCTACTAATGGACTGGAGATGGCTCATGCTACATACCATCTGATCAGCAACCACTAAGGTGTTTTCTGCCAGTAGAGGACGGCATGCTCGCACTTCACCAAGGCTTGTCCCGAGGAGCTGCATAGCAAGATACTCGAAATGCTCCAATTGTCCATAGGCAAAGACTCTCGGGATGGAAGGGTGCCCCTGCAGACGCTGCAGAACCTGTTGCTCATGATCTAAGACAGTGGTTTTGAGTGCAAGAGATGCTCGGGATTTCTTGACAGCCATGATCTGACCGGTAACTATTCGAGTGGCCTTGTACACCCGTCCCTAAGAGAATGTCAGGCATAGAATAACAGAGGACAGCATGGGCGTACGAAGCTTCCCTCACCTAGTAGATCATCAGCTCGGAGACACCATGACTCTACGACGGTCTTGGTATTTTCCATCTGGTGAAAACAAGACAGGGGGCGTGTAAATGAATGAATTGATTTTTCTTTGGCCATATACGCTCACATAAGCTCAGGGTATTGGCTGAGTACCTCGATGGCTACATGAAAGCCAACTATGCAAGCTAGTATTACAGTAGGAATCAAAGTAAACACGTGAATGAATGAATCTCCTAGTCACGTGCACCCAAATGGCTAGCAAGCGGGCTTAAACCCAGGCTCCTTCCCAGCCACTGCTTCGGAGGGCATCTGTGAATTCAAATTTGCGGGTCTGTCTGTCTGTACATCTGTCCGTCCGTCTGAGTCTGTCCAGGTCTGTCCGGATATCAACATAGGTACGAGCTAGTACAAGTCTAAGTAATTTAGAATATGGTGTGTAGTAGGTAATGTAGCAGACAAACAAATCGAATGAACTTGAACAAAGCATAACACATAGAAAAAAGAATCAAAAACCCCTACTTGGCAGGCTGCTGTGCCTTCTTCATGAAGGTGGTCCAGCATCCTTTCTCTGTGTGACCATAGTCAGTAAAGCGCTCACGAAGTGCTCGGTTCACCTCCAGGTCCCACACCTTCCTATTGTCATAATACATAGAAGCTTTGAAGGGCACACCAAAGTGTTTGATAAAAACCTGAGACACTTTGTGTCGTGAGTCAGCTGCTTTCTTGCATAAGTTGAATCTGTTAGCAATGTCGATGACATAGAAGTCCACAGGCCAGATTGCAACCTTCTCCACCTTGATAGCATCTGCCTTCGAAGTCCCATGTGAAAGCAGGCTCCCAGAGCTTTCCTCCTTGATGATCGGGCCTGCAAATTGAATTGAGAGTGGTGATGAAGCTATTGTCAATGTTCCTCTCGTGCCAGGTAGACTCGTATGCGTGTCTCATTTTTCTCATTGTATCGCAAATCTCATGCATCCATATATGTATAGTGGTACGCTGCAGCAGGTGCTCCCGGCCTTGAAGATGACCTTATACATGGGGACGGATGGCTGAGTGGATGTGCCTCCAACCCTGGAACTGCTTCGGCAGTTGCCAGCCTTAACAAGAAGGTCGTTAGGGCTGGCCACCGTAGGCCATATTACGGGCATGTACGGTGGCGTAATATGGTAACCGTACCCGTACCAGTCGGCACTTCAGCCTTGGGGTATATGGTTATGGTGTACAGTTTCTCCATAACCGTATTTCGCTGTAAATGTACGGTTATTACGACTGTAAATATGGGACATACGGTTGACCATATGGTCGCAGGCATTTTAAGCCCACTTTCTGTAACGCGGTATGAGTTCTGTGTCAATTCTAAGCACCACTTGACAATATGCATTCTAATCTTAGAATACCAGAGCTCTTAGCTCATTCTGCTGCAAGCTCCGCGACATCTTTTGCTACCACCAGCATCTCAAACACTGTCTACAACCAGTATTATCCATGACTGCATTCCCTGCTGGCATTCAGGTAGCGTCCATGCAAGTCATCTTTGAGTTCACCAACTTTACATGTCTGATATCTATCACAGCTGGAATTGTGCTCTGATGTGTGCTTGTGGCTTGGCTTTGGGTCAGGAGTTCAAGGGTAAGGCAGTCAACACCGCCCTTGGTCCTATGATGAACATGGGTCGTGTCCCCCAAGGTGGCCGTAACTGGGAGGGTTTCAGTGCAGATCCTTTCCTAACTGGCGAATCCGCATACTGAGACAATTTTAGGCCTACAAAATGGTGGAGTACAAGCCACTGCCGAGCACTTCATCAGCTAGTTTGTGTTTTCTTGCGTTTGTTTGCTTTTCTGCTTATCCCACCAGTGAGCAGGAACACTTCCCCACATTAGAATCTTCAAATGTTGATGATCAGACTCAGCATGAGATTTACGCGCACCTGTTCCTGCACAGCGTTATGGCCAGTGGGTAGCGTTGGCACATGATGCATCCAGGAACCAGTCCGACTCGGGTCACTGCCTCTCTGAAGAACATCTGGTCTCTCATAGCAATCGATCTCCAGTGACCACTTACTCAATGAAAGACAGTTTCTCCACAGTTGGGGATGAGACAGACACCAGTCACATGACGGGCTGATGTGCCTTGTTTCAGCGGAGCGTGCACAGTCTTGACTGGTCGTGACGGAGGAGCTGGAGTAGGTTCTTTGTCATCATCTGATGGGAAATCAGATGAGCGAGTTAGTACTACTGTAATTTACTAATTCAATGTTTTTCATCTCCCATATGACCGTATAGCCTGGTCATATAACCATATGATGACCCATACCATACCATCGAACATTTTGAATGTATTGTACAACATACGGTACGGTATGGGTAGTACCCAGTAAGCCTGCCATAAATTGTACGGCTGTAACCGTATACGGTTACGGTGGCCAGCCCTAAAGGTCGTAGGTTTGAATCCTACAACAACCATCAGGGAGTTTTAGTGGGTAGTGCTAGTGCTGCTTAGTCCCACATAACCTGCCTAATCCGGCAATGGGTATGCGTAAAATGCATTTCTTCCTGGAGAGTTAGCGTCTAAAAAAAATCCTTGGAACTGTGGTGTAATACATTATGCTATGTGCCTGTCAAAATGGGGCCAGCCTTGAGCAGTTGCCACTAGACAATGGCCTCTCAAAAAAAAAGATGACCTTACTGTATACATGATGAAGACTATGTTCCTCCTTCTCCTAATGCTGGCTCACACCCAGGGACTGTTAACTCTGGACAGCATGGAAGAAGCCAGTTCTGTTTCTGCTCATAACTGAATTCAATCAGATATCTCATTACTGTAATTGTTGCCCTCCCCACGCTTATGTCAGATTCATGGTCATTATACCCCCTCACAATGCGCTGAAGTGTTTCTAGGTAGACTTTATCTGGTGCAAACTCAAAAAACCTCATAAGTATAGGTTGCCCTCTGATATATTCATCCCCATGATTCACTCCAAATTCATTCTAGTTGGGTGGCTCTTTCTGCTGGTACGTGAAGCCACATGTAACTCATTCCAATCTAATCGTCTGTATCATCTTAGAGGTTTGTAATGCACTGGCTCCAGCAGGGAGGTTGGGCTGCACACCAGCTGGAGGGCATGTTTCTAACCCCAACCCTAGACATCTGCATCTTCACTCATTCTCCGTGAGGCATCAATCCCACAGAGCTTCCCTTAATACCTTCATGTTCGCAGGGTCCGATATGACATCTCTCGCTCTGACGTGGACATTCCTTCTCCTTGCGAAACATCCAGACTTGCAAACTCGTCTTCATACAGAACTTCTCTGTAAGTGGTGCACATCATATCCAGGATACATTCTGACACCCTCTTTGAACAGTGTTCTTACATGGCCATATGTTTCTGGACAATTCAAAAAAGGAAGCCAATGTCCACTCATTGTAATGCCACTCGAGTCGATTGCCACCTCCCAGTCTCATTCCTCAACTTCTCCAATTCCTCGCTGCTCTGCTCTCAATGCAGCAGCGAGTTGATGGGTGTGCTGGGTGACACCTATGCAGTGTATAATCCCTTCCCTGGGCCATACCACCCAGACTATCTTAGCCAAAACTGGGTGCTGCCCCGTCGGTAGTGGCATAAATGAGGTGTTACCATTTTCTGGAGTTGATAGTATCGACGAGATTCGAGGATGTGGTGGGGAGCATCTAAACGGTGCAATGAAGCTACAAGCTAGTCGAAAAGGAGCACACATTGCATTGAGGAGGAGTACCGGCGCATGACGCACATGACAACGCAACACGGCTCAGCAGAGTGTTGCATAGGAATTCAAACCATTATATAACTGTTATCTCTCATCTACATCTCTTCCCTCAGTTCGTTGTTCTATGACTGAGGGTATGTCTGCCATCTCACTATATGTTGCCTAGATACTAACATAACTATTATAGTCTGATGTTGTCTAGACTCTATAGGTTATGGCTGTAAAGTCTTCTCTAGCGCACATCAAGACCCACGGGCCACCATTGCGGACTCCCTCCATCATTACGAAGTCTGACACTGATGATGAAGTCACCATTATCTCGCTGCCTTCAAAACCATCCCTGAAGCACCACTGAAGTATGGGAGAAAGCAATACCAAAGAGGAGGCCAGGCCTCACAAGAGGTCATGGTGCTATACTGATGAATATGGCATCTGTGACTTCCATCCTGTATATGATGACTTACCTGTCAGGACAGCAATTGCAGCTGGATTCTGTCCCAGTTACCCATACCCTTGGTTGGGTCATTCAGTATCTCCACTGCCACCATCGCATCAACTCAGGACACCTCGCCTCCCATCACCAGCATCCTCAAGCTCATCTCTGCCAGACATACTGAGTGAGCCTCTTGCTGACAAGTTGCAGCCATCACTGATGACAAGATGGAAGGAGGCCTCAGACACCTTCAGGCCTTTTGGATGTGTTGCGCAAGGCCATCTCCCTCAGGAAGAAGACAGCAGGCACTCAGTCACATGATGATGAAGAATCTGACATTGATATTGACCTCATGCTGTAAGATACATCCATCTTGTATTCCCTCGAGCATGTTCACACATATTGTACCTGTCCCTCCAAATACTACCCTTTAAAATGTATATTGTACACAAGCTCTTCTCATTCAATGCCTACTTCACCCACACTGATCCTTAACTATTCGCCATGAGCAACCACAATCAATTAAGTTGTGCTCGAGCTCTGTCCTCTGGGCCATTGGCTTCGTCCCAGAACCCTCAATGAGCTTGCACAAGCAGTTGAAGCACATTTTGATTGGCATGGCAGCATCAATGATCTTGTGTGAAGTACACTATCCATTACTGTAGGATTATCTATATTCAGGCTTTTGTTGGCCATGTTCGTGGGTTGTGCCCTTCCTGCCTTAACCTATGTTTTGTCCGTTGATTCCTTCTAAGGATGAGTTCATCACAGAAAAAATTGAACTTGTGCCAACATCTCACGGCAAATAGAATGGTAGCCGCCGAACCAACCATTAGTCTGCTCAGTGATGGAGTTAAATCGCCAGCCCTTCCCATTGTCTCCTAGCAGCTCCGGATAGTCTACAGGGTTGCAATTTGCCTGGCAATAGGTCATCAGCGAACCAGTGAACATATTAAAAAGTCGTATTTAACTATATATTGCTAACAATCACACTAATCACCATAAATCTGGTGGGGGGGATTACTTGGAAATATATGACCTTCCGAAGGAAAGATAGGTTTGAAAATCAACCAGCCAAGCTATCCTACCCTCGATGCACCGTCTTATGTATGAAATAGTCTATAAGTCAAATATTTGGTACAAGCTAATGAAGCAGATTATGGATTTATACTAGTCTACCAACAAAAGATGTGACACTTTTTGTTGCAATGACACTAATCCTTGATTCTCATAAACACATAATTTAGTACCAGACTCGAAATATCTCAGGAGAAAGGTTGTCCAGCCCTCAACACCATTTTATACATTGATCAGTCCATCAGTGAAATGTTGGACATGAGGCAATGAAGGGGATTGTAGATTTATATGAGTCTACAAATAAAAGATGTGACACTCTCTATTGAAATGACACGAATACTTGATTCTCACAAATGCATGATTTAGTACCAGACTCAAAATACTGGGGGAGAAATCTTCTACTGCCCAACCCTTCGGAGACTGACATCAAGGCACGTGGTTTTTGCATTGCCATTGCAGAGCAAGTCGGGGCATTCCGATCAGCATTGGCAAATGCAAATAATATGCTCAACCGACATTACAAATCTAAACAATCAGCAGGGACATAACAGTCCATGTCTTTCGAAAACATGACGTACATTTGGGCGTCACCCAGACATGCGACATTTTACATCTGTTTGACAGGTACATTATGGTCTATGAAATGCACACTGAAGTGCAGGATCATGAAGTTTCGAAGGGACGGCAAGGTGCGTCTGGTTTCTGCTTTAGCAGATTCGCTGTATCATCGCTCAGACACACGACATGTTTGAATGTTGTCGGCAGGTACGTCATGATCTATTGCATGCAAATTGAAGTGCAGGATCATGAAGTTTCAAAGGGACGGCAAGGTGCTTCTTGAATTTACTTTAGCAGATTCACTATACCATCATTCAGACACACGACATGTTTGAATGTTCTTGGCAAGTACTTAATAGTCTATTGCATGCACACAGAAGTGCAGGATCATGGAGTTTCGAAGAGGCGGCAAGGTACATCTTGTATTTACTTTAGCAGATTCACTATACCATCGTTCAGACACGCAACATTTTGAATGTCCTTGGCAGGTACATTATGATCTATGAAATGCACACTGAAATGAAGGGCAGGTGTTTTGAGGAAATGATGAGATATGTTCATCAATCCTGATCTCTGAGCAAATGTATTTTCATACTCCAATGTCTGCCGCCATTTTTTTATCTACCCAATGGCATTTGTTGTGTTTAGTTCCGTCAATCGAACCTAATTAGTTCAAGGCTGCAGTTGGCCTTTTGAAGAAGGGGGTATTCCATATCAAGAAGTTTCGATGATTGATCACCATGCTGCATAACATACTCTCATTCACGCAGTTGTCACTACAATTATTCAAAAAGTAAATGTTCTTGCCGCCTGAACTGCACTGGACGTTTTAATAGATCAATTTGCACTTAGCATGTTGAATAGTATGACATTATGTTGTCAAGCAATCTTCTTTAGTTTGAAGATTGTCAGTGACTTCCTCAATCAAGGGTATTGCAATTGGAACACTTTCGTCGGCTAAACATCAAGCCACGCAACACATTTTTGTTCACACAGTCATTACTACAGTTGTGTGAAAAGCAAGCCTCCCTGCTGTTTGGCAGCATTAGACACTGCAATAAATGCAGTATTGATTGGTATGTTGGACAGTATAAATACTGCTGGAAATCATCCATCATAAAATTTGCAATTAATCAATTATTGTAAAGATAAACAAAATTAGATTGATATGGACAGTACTCGAATATGATGCATTAGTGGGCAAAGGAACGAGAACGACAAACAGAGAATAGCAAGAGGGAAGACAAAAAATGATTTACTCCGAGTTAAAGGTGGCATCCTCCAGCATCCTCCTCTGTTCGGCTAGTGCATTGACGGACATGTAGGATACAACCTCTGGCATCAAGTCCTCATGATGGTTGGTTCCAATTTTTTTTCTAAATGGTACTGTTAATTATTGGTACTTGCTGAGCAGCGACAAAAACCTTACCTGGTCCACCACTCCAGGAGTTTATCTACCCTATGTTTCGTGACAGGACCAGGCACAACCTCGAAATAGTCCATGACATTATTCCAGAATAACTCATAATCAAAATCGCCGTCCACAGTGAGCCAAGATGAAACACACGATAAAGCAAAACAAACCTACCACTCAAAGGTTAGATGCCAGAAATCAAATAGTGCATAATGACATTTACTACTCACTTGACAAACAATGTAAGTGATGGCACGAGGTGTCACCTTCTTCATGCTGATGATGGAGGCAACACAGGTTTTAACTTTAGCCTGATCTGATTTCCGCTGAGCACACCTATTATTTTCAAGGATATCGGCACCATCGCCATCTCTGTCAGCTTCCTTCGCAGAAGAAGGCAACGTAAAGATGGCTTTGAAGGCCTAGAGTGCCGCCATGAGAAAAAGGGTATTACGACTACATTCCAAAGCCATTGTGACTCACCAGAACCAGAAGCTTCGATTTTAAAAAACCCTCCTCAAGTTTATCGCGGTTGAGTTTATCTTTCTCGTACATGAACAGTGGCCACAAATTTTCCGAGACAATGTAATCTGTTGTTCTGTCGCAAATACTGGCCTTGACGCTAGCCCAGTATCAGTGTCCTGTAATACGAGAAAAGCTGATACTTACCGGTTTTCATCCCAGTCCCACTCGGCGGGACAAAGTAGCTTCCCACAAATGTCACTCGCAAAGCCGTGTGAATGTTTATCGTCAGGCTTGATCAAAGGAGACAGGCAAAATTCTTGGTTGACCCAGGCAGCAACAAGCTCCTTGAGACTGGAGGTATTGTCACCACATGCCGCATCTGCTCCTTTCTTAAGCTATAGAACAATCAGCATGCAGCATGAATGCTGTGCAAATGATAAGCCAGACCTTTTTTAACATATTTTCACATTCTTCATGCTCAAGTTGCCTGAGCTTCTCGTGCAGCCATGGTAGCGTTCGTGCGAGTTCAATGTATCCAGATTGCATGTGATCTTGTCTGTGTGATTGGATTAAAAGTACGGTACAAAACAAAAAGTCAAGGACCTACTCCAGCATGGCCTGTGAGTCATCTATCAGATGCAAACTCTCGTATCTGCGATCATTCTCAGCGATCAAGTCTTCTAAGCTAGAGTACAGGACAACCATGTGGCGAATTGCCCTGCCTTGTGCAACATAGTATGTTGTCTTTCTTTATAAATAGATTAACACTAGCCCAAGTATGCAAGACAGTACACTTACCTCTGCTTTGTCCCTCTCTCCTGTCGCAGCATCTCAAGCTCTTCTTCTAAGGCGGCAATGTGGCGCTTTGCCCTTGCGTTGGTAGAGGTAGGGATGGGCTGAGAGGGATCCACGTGTACAAGAGATTGGGATTCGCCGGGAGGTGATTCACCGGACTCCAACCTAGACTCGGAGGAGTGAGGATGACCAGTGAAGCTGGGAGGTGTGGTGGACATAGTGTGGACTCAGGATGAGAGAGCAGTATGAGGTGAAGGGAACAAGTAAAAGAGTGAGGTGAAATGAGACGGGAGGAAAGAGTGAGGTGAAGTGAGATGGGAGGAAAGAGCAAGGTGAAATGAGATGGGAGAAAAGAGCGAAGTGGGGGATAGAGGAGATGGTCGTGAACCTGAGGGTTTTTATATGTATGTTCAGGGCTTGTTGACATCTTGACCCATTGCATAGATACCTAATGAGGTGATTACTATAGTTGGCATAGAGCAGTTGTACTAAATAATAGACATACTTTTTGCGTACTATGATATACCCTCATCACGCCATGATGCGGTGAGAGTCCTTTGCTCCATTGCGAGGCGGACATCATCAAGTCTGAAATAGTAGGCGATAGTATAGTTGCATTTGACAATGGATGCACCTAGGAATGACCAGGATGCAGCTGATATGCTTGGACAACCACCCGCATTGAAATGCACAGTAAATTTATGATTCTCCTTCTTCTTGATGCCTCCTTAAATCTCAAGTGCCCCTGTCATGTGTGCCTCAACGTATAATCAACCAAGTCCAGCTACTCAAAGCACTTACAATGATGCAAGAGTAAAAGACACCAGTTAATTTGGAACGGGTCGACCACAACCAACTTTCAGTACCTCCGGATACAAATATGCTATCAACAAGACCCAGCGCAAAATGGAAACTCGTTCATGTCGCCAGAGATGGAAATGCGAGGAACAACAGAGGAGTGAGGAGTGAAATACTGTGAGTAAGAGACTCCGAGTTGGCGGGAAGGTCGAGAACACTTGAACGATTCTGGTTTGGCTGACAAATCATTCTTAGTCAGTAAACTGAGTTGCGACTGCAGAAGACACCATTTGCAATATGTTCTTAAGGTCTATGCCACGGTACATCATTATACATGTATATACATGTGTAAATATCATACTTACTACTTGCATATAATGATACAATGAAAAAAATGAGACAGAACCTCTAGCAGGTTCGAGCACCAGGACAGGGAGCAAGGGGGCGCTGAGAGGACCAGCAAGAGCTCATGCACAATGACATAGATAGGCGCAGGGACTCAGAGAATGGGACAGGTATAAAAGGATGTGGGGGGATCATGTGCGTGATAGGTTCCCCAGGACTTTGTGGGCTGGGTGCAGTTCGGGAGGTGTGCTTGAGAAAGGTATCTTCGCCGCTGTTTGTGGTCTGGATTGTGATGGTACTGGTATGGCACCCACCAGCCCACATGTTGGAGAGATGAGAGAGGGCTTGCCTGTGCTGGTGCTGGTGCGGGCGGGAGCGAAGAAGGAGAGTTGGGTGATTGATCAGAAGGAACAGATGCTTCCCTCGCTCTTTCACAAGAGAGCATAGGACAGGTCTCAGCCTGCGGCCCATGTATCTGGTCCTTGTTGCTGCTGTGTTAATTAGGCTTCGAGACAACAAAAGTCTGTGTGTGTGCGTGGAAGCAGGGGGAGCCAAAGAAACGAGAATGAGAAGAAAAGTAAAAAGACCTGTAACACATCTGCTAGAGCAATGATGCAATGACCAACTCCAACATCTCTCCGGTCTCCACTTTTTCAGTCTCAAGAGACTCCAGGTCGTCATTCAGGAGAGTATACCAACATGTTACCATAAGCTAAACAGTGCCAGATAGTTCAGGTACGAGGTTTTTGCAGGACAATGGAATTCAGGATAATGTAGTTGGGCGCAGGAAGGGTATCATGACAAGGCGGCAGGTGGAGCAAGGGTGTGGTGAACAGCACAAACCTACAATGTTGAATGTACATAGTACATCAATAAAAAAAGGTTTGTAATGCAGCAACAAAAGACTCACCAAGACATACAAAAATATTTTTTCATGTGAAGCTAGAAGAGGTTTTTGCGATGTTATTGATGCACTGACATTGTACTGGTAACATTGAATGTCGAAGCATTCAATGATGCATGATGCAGGACGGGTCAATGCAAGTTTGAACCAAGTGCCACAGGGACAGATTCAACCCAACATTCAACTACAATGAATCTGATATCATGACTACAGTACACGAACACCTGAGGCCTGAGTTTCGGTTGCACTGGTAAGAACATCAATAATAATGGCTTTTCACTTCCACCTGTACTCACAGAAGTTAGAGTGTTCATTCCCCAATAGACGTTGTTGGAATTGAGTGACTGAGCAAATTGTAAGCAGCACCGAGAATCATGATCATATAATCAGTACTTAGTACTACTAGTGCTCAAAGAATACAACTTGGTGCATGTATAATGTACGTATGTGAGTCCCCTGTATCGCCACACCCCCAGCGAACAAATAAACAAAATATGCAATGTGACTGGTAAAGCTATATGAAATAACCAGATTCGGTGAGGATACAAGCAATGAAGTCAAACGAGGGACAACCAATATCTTCAAGCAAAATATCAATGTTACTCTAGCATGTTAACCAACCCACAGGCTTGTATTCCAGCATGACATGACTGGCCTTTTCAACTTTCATTGCCCAATCATCAACTTCTTGTTGGAGAATCTGCAGAAGTTGAGTGTACTGCCGCACTCGGTTCTGTGCTGCAGCATAACTTGCATAGACTGTATCAATAGTGTAACGAGTAAATAGCTCGTTTGCATGCTCATCATCCTCAAGCATTATCTGACTCATGCTAAGTCAGTGCTTGCACAAACTTATGCAACAATATGACTCGCACCAAATACGACTGCAACTCTCACAGGCAGCCTGACATTTCTTTTTTTGAAAGTGTGAAAAGGGCTAGGGATTGGCAAGGTTGACGAGGAAGTTGTTTCTACTGACATGTTTAGGTACAGGTTAAAACGAGTTAAAACTTGGCATCAAACAACCAAAAATATTTGATGAACAGCTTCAATCGGAGCTATGCGGTATTTTAAACATTCCATTAGAGGAAATTACCTTTTAAGGCCAGTTCCTTTAGACAGGCGTGAGTCGTGTTACTCACTAACATCATAAATTTTCACCTTCAAATGGTTGATGTCCAAAAGTCTATTTCAGCTAGAGTGAAACTTGAATGCGTATCTCTCCACCACCTTGGATCAGTTTGTGTTCTAGATTTCTGCTTCTGATGGTCGCCGTGTCCTTACTACGCTGCAATGCAATGGGTTGTTTGTGGGCAAAGGATACAGATGCTCGTGGACTTAGCAGGCATCGTGCTACATGCAAGTACTACCAGAGGGCTAGCACATTAGCTACAGATAAAAGGCGGCAGCGGGCAAAGGATTTTATTTCAACATCAAGGAAATCATTGACCTCATACCGGCCATCGCAGCTACTCACTGTAAGTACTAATATGTGATATTGGTCACTGAGAACTCCAATATGGACTTATTGAAACCGCCACTCAAACCAATTCAATTCAAAAAGGGCCAACACCCCAAACCCATAGCCTGTTGCGAATGCCAGGTACCTACTAAGTCTATGAATCCAGCTAGCGGTACCACACATATTGGCCCCTCAGCTGTTACTATATTACAGGACACAGATTTTGAGATGGAGGATGCCATTGAAGAAGACCATGGAATTCCAGGCATGCATCTTTGTTAACTTTGTCTATTGTCATACATAGTACTCATGGATCGCCAGCACACCCTGGGCATCATCCCTCGCGATGTATGTTTGTACCAAGGAACTTTGAAGATATTATACTTCCCAACGAAGATATGAATTCTCTCGTGAATGATCCATCTATTGTGACCGGGATTCAGAAACCATCGCAGCATAGAATCCAGCGAGTCCTTTTGACACTACGTGACACTCTTCACACAGCCTTTAACATGATCGGACTCTCTCGACTATATCCTTGGCGTCCATCATTCGACCCGGATAAATTTGTTCTATCTTTGCTGCTAGCCAGATCAGCTCCCATAATTACCAATGTGCACGATGCCCAAGGATCTGATTCATTTCCTGGAGTCTCTGAACCACCTTATCCCTTTGCCAACATGACTATCTATCGTCTTATGACATGGATGAACTCTGGCAGCCATCATAAGTCGCAAGCTGAAGTAATGCGACTCGTTAAAGAGGTGATTTTAGCAGAGGATTTTAACCTGAGGGATCTGGTTGGATTTTCCATCAGGAGGTGTCTGCATGCACTGGACAATGACGGAGGCAAGGGGGCAGTCACTTTTCCTGATGATTGGGTTGAGACAGATGTTCATATTGATATCCCTACAAAGTCGAAGGATGATCAACCCACACCATTTACCATCATGGGATTTCATTATCGACCACTTGTAGCTGTCATTTGTGCTGCATTTGCCGACATTCAAGCCAACACATTCCATATTTCTCCTTTCAAGCACTTATGGAAGGATCCCCTTGACAATCACGAAGAACACATTTTTGACGAGCTCTACACCTCTGATGCCTGGCTAGAAGCTCAGGACGACCTGCAGAGGCAGCCCAAAGAACGTGGTTGCACCCTCGAATGTGTTGTCGCCAGACTCATGTTATTCTCTGATGCAACTCACCTTGCAAATTTTGGAACAGCTAAAGCCTGGCCTCTTTACTTATACTTCAGAAATTTGAGCAAGTATGTACGCTCAGCACCCACATCTGGTGCATGCCATCTTTTGGGGTTTTTGCCTTCAGTATGTCGCTTACTTACTAGTATATCTTGTGACCCTATCAATGCACATCCTTTTCAAGCTTCCAGACTGTGTCAAGGATATTTTGAGCAATCTACCTGGGATATCAAAAAGCGGAATCGCAGCTCTCAATGTGCATTGTCGACAGGTGTTATTTCAGGCTTGTTGGAATATCTTATTGGGTCCTGAGTTTCTTCATGTGTACCATCATGGAATCGTCCTTCAGTGTCTGGATGGAATACTCAGAAGAGTCTTTCCACGAATCTTCACTTATTCGGCAGATTATCCAGAGAAGTGCGCTCTTTATCTTTTTTATTTCACATTGATGAGTAATCACTGTTCTAGGGTTCTAATAGCAACAATGAAAGATATGGGTTCTTG